TAACAACACTTACTTAGGCTATTAATATAAACTCTTAAGGCCAGAAGTTTCCCTCTGATGGACACTTGTCCAGAGCCATACTTTTGAAATACAATGTTCTCGTTGCTGTTTCTTCAAACAGATCACTTTACAACACAGCCAACATAACATATGAAAACATATACAGTGCATGTAAAATATAACTATATAGTATTATATTTGTTATTTTAATATTTGACATTGATCCTGATTTATTATACGAACATTGTAATACAGTTACCTTGAATATTATAAAGCTAACATCATTTTCTGATTATGAAGGTCCCTTTAGGATTTACTACATTTAAAGTCATTAAATGTAGAAATCATATATTTTTTCAGAAAGCTATTTTTGTTATTTTAAATTGCATGTATGTATGTATGTATGTATGTACATGTTGGGGCATGTGCATGTATGTGCAGGCACCCACAGAAACCAGAGGCAGCGAATCACCCATGGATCTGGAGTTACATGCAGTTGTGACCTGCCTATCATAGTTGCTGGGAACCAGACTTAGTTCCTCTGCAAGATCAGTGCACACTCTTATCCATCTGCCAGCCCCAGAAATCTTGCAAGTAAGGGAAGAACCTTGAAGTCCTGTACCTCGGACATGGAGGACGTCAGATACCTTCCTGAAAGCGACTAACTCAAGTGCAAAGCTTTGGGCATCACTGCATTTCATACAAGTACTGTTTTTGTTAAAACAGTCCAGACATATTTTTTTAACTTTAGATCTAGAAGTTTCTTATGTTGGAATTTTTTCTGTACTTCCGGTGGTTGGTTGGAGGTTTTTTGTTTGTTTGTTTGTTTGTTTGTTTGTTTGTTTTACTCCCAGATGGAGCACAGTAAAGTCAAAGAATGCAGGTAACATGACGTTGAGTTTTTGGAACTCACTGGCCTTTCCTGATAGCTATGTAAATCAATGTTTGTGTTCTGTGAATATCTGAAAAGAACTGTATTTTTAGTTATGGAGAAGCAAGCTCAGAGACTGTGGAAATGGCTCAGTGAGTGAAGTGCTTGCTTGGGTAGAGCCTGAGGACCTGAGCCCGGAACCCCGAGCTCCTATGTGAACAACAAAACCCAACCAAACCTGGTATGCAGCATGCTATTGTGTAATTCCACCTGGAGTCTAGCAAAAACGGCAAGCTCCATCAGTCATTGGCTGAAGATTCTGTTGGAGCTTGCCATTTTTGTAGACTGGCACTCCCCTGATCCATGTCTAAAATCCATATACAAGTGAGTACATACCATGTTTTCTTTTTGTGACTGGGTTACCTCACTCAGGATGGTTTCTTCTAGTGCTGTCCATTTGCCTGCAAATTTCCAAGATTCCATTGTTTTTTTTTTCCCACTGAGTAGCACTCCATTGTGTAGATGTACCACATTTTCTCTATCCACTCTTCAGTTGAGGGGCATCTAGGTTGCTTCCAGGTTCTGGCTATTACAAATAATGCTGCTATGAACATAGTGGAACAGACATCCTTGTTGTATGAATGGGCATCTTTTGGGTATATGCCTAAGAATGGAATTGCTGGATCTTGTGATAGACTGATTCCCATTTTCCTGAGGAATCTCCATACTGATTTCCAAAGTTGGCACTACCACCAGCAGTGGAGGAGTGTTTCCCTCTCTCCACATCCTCTCCAGCATAAACTGTCATTGGTGTTTTTGATTTTAGCCATTCTGACAGGAGTAAGATGGTATCTCACAATTGTTTTGATTTGTATTTCCCTGATGGCTAGGGATATTGAATACTTTCTCAAGTGTCTCTCAGCCATTTTAGACTCCTCTACTGAGAATTCTCTATTTAGTTCTGTACCCCACCTTTTAATTGGATCCTTTGGTGTTTTGCAGTCTTGCTTCTTGAGTTCTTTGTGAATTTTGGAGATCAGCCCTCTGTCAGATGTGGGGTTAGTGAATATCCTTTCCCATTCTGTGGGCTGCCTTTTTGTCTTGTTGACTGTGTCCTTTGCCTTACAGAAGCTTCTCAGTTTCAGGAGGTCCCATGCATTAATTATCGACCTCAGTGTCTGTGCTACTGGTGTTACGTTCAGGAAGCAGTCTCCTGTACCAATTCATTCAAGGGTACCTCTCACTTTCCCTTCTAAAAGGTTCAGTGTGGCTGGATTTATGTTGAGGTCTTTGATCCATTTGGACTTATGTTTTGTGCATGGCGATAAACTTGGATCTATCTACGTCTTCTGCATGCCAGTATACAGTTATGCCAGCACCATTTGTTAAAGATGCTTTCTTTTTTCCATTGTATAATTTTAGCTTCTTTGTCGAAGATCGGGTGTTCATATGTGTATGGGTTAATATCAGGGTGTTCGATTCGATTCCATTGGTCTACCTATCTATTTTTGTGCCAATACCAAGATGTTTTCAGGCTTGAAGTCAGGGATGGCGATGCCTCCAGACATTGCTTTGTTGAACAGTGTTGTTTTGGCTACCCTGTGTCTTTTGTTTTTCTATACAAAGTTGATTATTATTCTTTCAAGGTCTGTGAAGAATTGTGCTGGGATTTTAATGGGGATTGCATTGAATCTGTAGATTGCTTTTGGCAAGATTGCCATTTTTACTACGTTGATCCTACCTACCCAAGAGCATGGGAGATCTTTCCATTTTCTGGTGTCTTCTTTAATTTCTTTCTTTAAAGACTCAAAGTTCTGGCAATACAGTCTTTCACTTGATTGGTTAGCATTACCTCAAGGTATTTTATGTTGTTTCTGGCGATTGTAAAGGGTGATGTTTCTCCGATTTCTTTCTCAGCCCTTTTATTGTCTGTATATAGTAGGGCTACTGATTTTCTTGAGTTGATCTTGTATCATGCCATTTTGCTGAAGGTATTCATCAGCTGTAGGTCCCTGGTAGAGTTTTTTGGGTCACTTATGTAAACTATCATATCATCTGCAAAAAGTGAAAGTTCGACCTCTTCCTTTCCAATTTGTATCCCCTTGATCTCCTTTTGTAGCAGAGGCAGACACCCATAGCTAAATACTGAGCTGGACTCCTGGAATCCAGTGACAGAGAGGGGGGGCTGATGAGCAAAGAGGTCAAGATTGGGCTGGTTTAACCTACAGAAACAGCTGACCTGAACAAGGGGGAGCTCTTGAATCCCAGACTGATGGCTGGGAGTCCAGCATGGGACTGATTCAGACACCCTGAATGTGGGTGTCAGTGAGGAGACCTAGGCAATCTATGGGGCCTTGGGTAGTAGATCAGTATTTATCCCTGGCATACAAATGGACTTTGGGTGCCCACCCCAGAATGAGGGATGCTTTCTCAGCCTGGACTCTTGGGGGAGGGCCTGGGCCCTGTCCTGAATGAAATGACAGACTCTAGAGATCCCCCTTGGAGGACCTTACCCTCCCTGGGGAATGAAGTAGGGATGGGAGGGTTTGGGGAAGGGTTGGTGGAAGGATGTGGGAGGAGAGGAAGGAGAGGGAGCTGGGACTGACATGTGAAGCAACCTTGTTTCTAATTTAAACTTTAAAAAATTTTAAAAAACAAACAAATAAAAAACCAGCAAGCTCCAGATTCAGTGCAAGACCTGTCTCAAATCGTAAGGTGTGGAGTGATAGAGAAGGACAGCCTGACGCCATGCTGTGGCTTCTGCCTCATGCACCGTGTGGGAAAGCATGACCATTATGCATATGCACAACTAACCCTGAGCTCACAGGGTTTGCTATAGCATTCTCTCTCTGGGTCTGGGATATACACGCAATGTGTCTGCACATCATAAATTGCAGAAGAGGCAAGTGAAGCTTCCTAGTTATGGTTGTAGCATGCCCAGCTGATTGTAGCTGTTTTTCGAGACAGGGTTTCTCTGTGTAGCATTTTTAAAAATTATTTTTATTTTATGTTCATTGTTTTTTGTTTGTTTGTTTTTAAGATTTATTTATTATGTGTATAGTGTTCTGCCCACATGTATCCCTCTCTGCAGGCCAGAAGAGGGCATAGATCTCATTATAGATGGTTGTGAGCCATCATGTGGTTGCTGGGAATTGAACTCAGGTCCTCTTGAAGAATAGCCAGTGCTCTTAACCACTGAGCCATCTCTCCAGCCCCACATTTTTACAATTCATTTTTTATCTGTGGTCGTTTCTTGCTTTATGTCTTTAAATGTGGTTTTGTTTCATGCATAGAAATTTGGAGTCATTGAACCTTCTCCATCAAGTATGTTTTCATCTCCCTCGGTTGTTTCTCTTTGCCTTGATCTTTTTCTTTCTGTCTCCAGTTCTGCTTTGCATTGCTGCTCCTGTCCAGTCCCTGGTGTGTAGTGGGTATAGTAATGGTGTTGCTCCTGGGGGCTTCTGGAAGGACACACCATCCACTTTTCTGTCTCCAGATAGTCATCTGACTCTGTAGTTAATCAGTGAGGTCTGTGGAGAAGCTCCGCCCACAGAGCCAGCCCCTGCCTTCCTCCTTCCTGCCCAGGTGGGTTGTCTTGGAACACCCCAGCTCATCACTGGCCTGCTGGAGTCCTGTTCTGACATCACATCTTATTTCTTGTTAAGCATATCAGAAGACATCTCTGTCTACCATTGGTTTTTTGTTTTTGTTTTTCTTTTTTATATACAGGGAAGAATCTCATTCTTAACTTCTTTTGTCCCTCCATTAATTCATAATTTATGCAAGTGTGGGGGAGCAGTTAGACAAATATGTAAAAAGTAAAATCCACAAAGTCTGTTCTCCTGGGCGTGACAGCTTAGACTTAGTTATTAGACTTTACCCGTCATTGAAGAGTAGGCATAGCCACCAATTATAGGTACAAAACCTTGTTGTTGACGGCTATGCAAATTAGACATGCTAGCATCCATTTCAGCTGTTGCTCACATGAAAAATGAGTTAGAATTAGAATTCAAGTCCAAATAGTATGTCCAGTCTCCTCAAATGCTCTTTATAACTTCTTGCAGAGGGGACTGTTTAACTCTAGGGTTCCTGATGTACCCTACCATAATCTTGTCTTCTTTAATCCTAGGAATCTACCTTCTGGACTTGATCTACATTGATTCTGCATACCCTGCCTCTGGCAGCATCATGGAAAACGAACAAAGATCCAACCAGATGAACAACATCCTCCGGATCATTGCCGATTTGCAAGTTTCCTGCAGCTATGGTTAGTACCTAACCACTAGAATTGTGAAATCTTGTTCTTTTTGGGGGGTGGGTTCAAGACAGGGTTTCTCTGTGGCTTTGGAGGCTGTCCTGGAACTCACTCTCGTAGACCAGGCTGGTCTCGAACTCACAGAGATCTACCTGCCACTGCCTCCTGAATGCTGGGATTAAAAGTGTGCGCCACCACTGCCCTGCTTTTTGGTTTGCTCTCTGCTGCCAGTTTTCACAACAGGATAAAGGGAAAAAAAGCTGGGCGCACCAGAGGGTGTGAAAAAAAATCCAGCCCTACCTGTCATACACAGGGTGTGAGACAGCCGGCTGCCTCTGCTTGGGAAGACCACAGGGAATCCACAGGTCACTGAATCTCAGGGCAAGATAGGGTCTGCAGCCTAGGCCAGCTCTCCTCTGAGGCCTGCATAGTCTAGAGCCTTTGATACCCACATTGTTGTCTACTAACCAGCAGAGCAGCTGCAGACTCAGGCCTCACACACCAGGGAGCTGGTCTCAGGCTGCATCTTGAAAAGTCACTACCTCCACACCATGGTTTGCTCATGCATGAAAAATAGGGCCACACACAGTTCCTGGCCCTCAGCATGTGCTGGAATTTTCCAGAACCCAGAGAAAATGCACTCTTGTCACTGTGCTCTAGACTTGTGCCAACTGCCATCAGCTTGGAGAGCAGGTGTCATTGTCCTCATTTAAGAGATGATGACACCACTGAGAAACAGAAATGGCTTTCAGAACCTCAGACTCTGGAGCCCGAAGATCATGGGTCCCGGCTGCTCTTCAAGCCTTGTCCCTCTCCCCGGCCCCTCTCTGTTCATGTCTGCCCCACTTCTCAGAAGTACAGTGACAGTGAATGTCTGAGGAGAGTGACAGACATGACATAGGCCTCACAGGCTGGGGTAGAACCTGCCTGGCCACCTCTAGGTGGTATGACCTCTGCATACTGCTGCCATCTCTCCTTTGTGTGGTGGGACTAGCCTCTTCCTACATAAGACAGTGAAGGCTGCAACAGCTGTCTGCTGTCTGTCACCTGGTGCCAGGCCCGCCATCTGCACTGGCTGGGATGGTCTTGCATTCATGGCATACAGGAGACTATACTGCCATCACTGGAAATGTGCTAGAGACCGACACACATGACCCTGGTCTTTTCTGGAGACCAGGGCTCCAGCTCACCCCAGCCCTAGCTTCTCTCCCTCAGCCAAATGCTCAGGGTCACTTTCTATAAGGCAGAATCCAAACCTGACCACCCTCCAGGGCCTGGCCCCAAGGACAGTGAACCAGCCTCAAGATGCCACTTGCGACTGTGTCAGCATTCCCTGGGCTGACATTTGTCTCCACTCGCACAGATCACCTCACCACCCTGCCGCATGTGCAGAAGTACCTGAAGTCTGTGCGCTACATAGAGGAGCTGCAGAAGTTTGTGGAAGATGACAACTACAAGTGAGTTGCCTTTCCCCAGCCAGGCCCACCTGCCACGGCTCCCCTAGCACCCAGGGGCCTGCTGCAGGCGACCTGGCCCTTACTGGGACTGGTAAGGAGCGGCATGCAAGGCTTCTGTGCCGCACCAGAACAGTCTTGTCTGTCTGTACAGACCTGCCTTCTCTCCAGCCCCTCAGGCCACACGGCCGAGGGAGACGGTGTGCCCCCATCCCATGTGGCCTGGGAAACACCCGTGGACTCCACAGCCATGTGTGGGCTAGGGCTGGCACCGTGTGACTCTCACAGACACCCTTGGCACTGGGTAGAAGGTTAGCTGGGCATATTCTCAGGCCAGTGTTCTCCAAGGTCCTGTTTTACAGATGAATGAAAGTCTGTCTCTGGGTCTCTCCTCTCTGTAGGACTCTCCTCCATCTGGCTGTAGCCAAGGGCCTCAGGTACAAACTCTATGCCTCTGTGAACACATGCATTTCTCAGAAAGGCCCCTCAACTCATCTTCCCCATGTCCCGCTCGGGCTTGTGGGTCTCCCTCACCGGTGGCACTGGGTGTGCGTGCCTTGCAGCGTCTGGAGGGAGAAGGGGGTTTGTTTTCAAGTCATCGCTGACTACCCGTCTGTGCTCAGTTCTTTCTCATATAATTATACCTGGTGTCAAGGCAAGTATCAGCCTCTTACGATTGCTCATTCTCCACGAGAGTTACCTCACAGGATCCCTTGGACATCCCATCTCACTGGCTGCTTCTGCACACCGTTTCCCTGACCCTTGCTATCTAGTGCCGTTTAATCCCTGCTGCTTTGTCTGAAAGCCTGCTCTTGCCTCATCTTGGTCTGTGAAAACAATCCAGAGCCGTAGCCACCAGTCACTTGACAGATCATGGAAACAATCTGTCCCTACCTGGGCGTGTGTGCACCTGGCCAGTGCGGCGGCAGAGGCTCAAAGCTCTGGCTGGGACTCCAGCTCACCAGGGAGGGGCCTGGGGCTGACCTTCTCTCGGCTCTCCACTGGAGACTCGAGTCATCTTTGGGAACATAGGCATTCTGTCTTCACTGTTGCTATACCATCATTCATCAAGATGAACAATGGCACAAGAGAGACCCAGCGCACAGTAACGGGAGGCACAGAAGAGAGTCAGAGGTCACCACTAAAATGGCATCTATCACAAACAGTTCGTTTTATTTACAAAGCATTTGCTGTTCCTGAAGAGTGGCCTGGAGTGCGAAATTATTCCCACTTAAGTTCTAGTATAATGTTTTCCATTCATGTACCAGCCTTGCCATTAAAGAGACAGTAGTTTTTCATTAACACTAATACGCTTTAAGGGGAAAAATGGCCTATAAATACTTGTGAACATGAGACAACCCTTGGACAAGCTGCAGATTATGAGCAATTACTCCTCCATTCTGAAGAAGGGGGGCACTGTCCCCACCCCACCCCCACCCCAGCCCTCTGCGCTAAACAACAGTCAGCCTAGGGCTCATAAAGGCTCTTTGTTGGGCCAAACTGGGCAAGCCCAGGAAGGAGGGCTGCCTTCCTGCCCCAGGCCCCCAGCCGTGGAGAGTCCTCTTTCTAAGAAGGCCCTGTTTCTGAACAGCAGGAGGCAAACAGGGCCTGTGGCTCCTCACGCACGAACTTATGACATTGGTGACCTTGCACCCCTGATACCTTGCCATCCTCTGCAAGACAGACACTCCACCAAGAGACCCAACCAGTGTCTTCTCTTTCTCAGCTCTTAATCTGTTGTCAATTTAAGAAAATTGACCCAAGTTCCTACCACTTAGGAAGCATGGCCACTAACAGGAAGTAAGCAGGAGTTTGAACCCTTGGTTATGCGTGGAAACTTTATTTACACAGAAGAAGGGTGGGTAGATGGATGGATGCAAGGGCAGAATTTACTCAGATTGGATCATACTTCCCTTGCTATTTGAAGTTTAAAATCCTAAATGTCTTTAATTCAGCCAGATAAAAAGGAAACTGAAGTGAAAGGTAAGGAATGGTCACTCTTTAGGTTAATGTTTATTTACTACAAGAAGTGTTGTTCCCTGGGTCTGGGAGGTGGCTCAGTTACTCCTCCCGCAGGGGATCCGACTTCAGTTCCCATCACCCACTTCAGGCAACTCACAACTGCCTGCAACGCCAGCAGGTAGGATCCAACGCCCTCTCCCCTGGCCTCCATGAACACCTGCACACACATGCACAATACCACATGGAGACTCACACATACACATAATTAAAAATTAGAATAAAATATATTTCTTAATCATCTTTTATAAGACTCATAAAATGAGCCAAGAAAACCACGAAGAAGCCTGAGTCTGGGTGTTCCCTATGGCCAGGTTGTTACTGCGACCGTCCTCTGCTTCGGGGTATAAAGAGGAAACTGCTGGCCACGCGCCACCTGGGCTTCACCACCCCGCAGGATTGTGTTAGTTGTGTTATGTTTGGACTCCACACTCCAAGTGCATACCATGAGAACCACCCTCAGGAATCATAATTCCTACTGTTGTGTGTTTTTAATGGATTCATGTCTTACCCCATTGCTCTTCATCCCTTGAGCCTTTATTTTAAATCAGTCCCTTACTTAGCAGGTTCTTCGGCAGCTGGGGCCTCCCTTCCCTTGGAGGGCTGGTTGTTCTGCTTGGCCTCCTGGAAGTCTCAGATTTGCCCAGGCTGTTTTTCCTTCCCCTTTTGCTTTGCCTGGTGGATGAAGAAGTCCATGAAATTCAGAAACGCGGCAACAGAAATCCTCAGAGAGGAGGATTCTCCCCGACCTCCAGATCCCTCAGCATGCCTTTCCGGCTGCAGGCCAGCCCCGCTGGTTATGGCTTCACCTGCTCTTGGCTCCCACCTGCCAGGGCTCCTGAGTTGGATGCTCTCTGCCCTCCTTCTCCGTGAGCTGCTTCCCAGCAGCTGTGATGGTCTCGTTAGCCACCAGCAGTCCCCAGACAGTCTGTTTCCAGTGAGGTGTACAGCCAGCCCTGTGTGGCTTCCATCTTTGTCTCATTACCTCTCTGTTCAGGTTTGGTTGAACTCAGCTTTTCTGCTCAGGGGTCATTCTCTCCTTACCTTTCTCTTCTGGGAGACAGGTCTGTGGTGTCTCTTGACCACTGTCTTGCTACCATTTCAGAGACTCTTGCCTGGATGCTTCTCAGAAAGATGTCTGGTTCTCATTCCATGTTTGCAGAGGGACTGGTTTCTCTCCTGCTGCCTCGGAGCTCCAGGACCACCTAACTTTCCCTTTCTCCCAAGGCCTTCATCTCCCAAGGCCATCCATGCCACAAAGGGGTATCCCCAGGTTGCCAGTCTGGTCCTATGGAACCTGCATTCCATCGTAGTATACTTGCCTGCACAACCTCTTTCTCCTCACTTTCCAGGCTCTAAATATGCTTCCTTCACAGAGTTTTGGGTTAGCAAGCAGGGGTCAGTGGTTCATTTCATTCTGTCCTCCTTAACCATCACTCACTGGATCATAAACCCTGGGGAGGTGTTGGAGGAAAGAATTGTGACCTGAAGCAGATTTCACAGGATCCCTGTATTCTGTGATCCATGTACTCCTTCCCCCATCCCATGATGGACCAGGGCCCCTCTGACCTTGTGAAAATCTTTGTTTCAGGCTGTCACTCAGAATCGAACCAGGAAGCAGCTCTCCAAGACTAGTCTCTTCTAAGGAAGATCTTGCAGGTATTGTGGCTACCTCGAAAGGTGCAAAACCATGTACACCCCAGACTTGGCTACTAAACTAGGCCCTGTGTGGAGCTCAAGAACACAGTTGAGTTCATTGTCTGGTAGGCTCAACTGTCCCTGCTTGTAGCTCCCTCTTCCAGCTTGCCAGGATCCTGATAATGTGAGACCCAAGAGATCAGACCCTCAACTTAGAAACATGCACAGAGTTCTTCCCCTAGACCACCAAGACCCTTGTCCTCCAGCCTACCCTCAGACTTGGCATTATGTGCCCTAAAGGGGTGCCCAAGATGCACCAGACACGTTAGATCTATCACCTTTGAGGGGAACACACACTGTATCGCCAGCAGTGGGATCCTAGGATCTGCTGCCGGAGCTAGGCTCTAGCTCTGTCTCTCCATCATTCTCCTCCATAGCGTTAGCTACTGGATGGAGTGAAGAGTCGTATTGCCCTTGTAGGACTGCCATGATGCCTGGGTGAGCACAGGCCTGTCTCATGCTCTGCCCACACCTGTCCCCTCTCAGAGTGTGCTTGTGTCAGCTGCCTTGTTGTTTCTGTTATAACAATGGCCCTTCAGTCATCATCTAGCCAGCTCCTGGAGATGGGGACAGATCAGTGCTGCTGCTTGAGGAGAGGCTAGAGAGGCCTCCAGCAGCAGGTCTTCCAACACCCCTCCATCACCCAACCTGGGTCTGAGCCAAACAGCTGCATCCCTCTGGGCAGTGCTTTCCCTGCTTGTAAAATAGAAATAATGAAACCATCATCCCAACAAGACGACACTGAGATGCTGTTCAGGTGCCTCTCCATACTCCCAGCTGGTATGTGTATTGGTAGGACTAGACCCACAGAACTCAGAAAACAGTATGGCAGCTTCCCTCCCGCCCAGCAGGGCCTCTGTCCCACCTCTGGGATGTGCTCCTGGCTCCCAGTCTGCCAGCCTCTGCTGTCTCTGGGTGTAAGCTAGACTCATCCTCACACCTCTAGGCTCCCCTGCTCATGAGCCTGGAAGGTGCTGCTGTGTGGCCCTTGGCAGTGGAGGGGCTGTTGAGTTAGTTCTGTTTACAGTGTATTTTTCATGGCATCTCCCAGGACCTTGTATTAAGTGCCTCCTCAAAAACCTACTGTCTTTCTCTGGTAGATGGCTCTTTCAAGGGTGGTCCTGGGTGTTCCTCCCTTCTAGTTTGTCCCTGTTCTAGAACTCTTCCCAAGCAAACTGCTCTCTGAGATGCTCCACACAGCCCACTCCAGCTGTCAACTGGGTGTGGTATACATGTCACTCACAGGGCTACTCAGGAAACATAAGCAGAGTCTGGCCCAGCGCTCATCAGGTGCAACTCTACCATGGTGGTTGGTCGTCAGCATGATTCCGTCACAGAACTAGCCTCCAGGCTTTAGCTAAATGACACCGCCTAAGACCCCAGTCAGGTCTGGTTTCATGGTGGTGGGGGTGGGGGGCAGCAAGCTCTGGACCCCAAGCTGACCCACCCTGTTTCTGTGTAGTATGACGTATGGCTACACATTCATGGGCTTACTTCTCGCCTGACCTCTCACGGGGCTTTGTAGGTCCTACATCATAGCCTGTGTGGCCAGGAGCTGGCCTGACCTAACCTTCTTCATGTATGTTCTCCTTTATCCTCGGCCTGTCTTCTCCACAGAGTAAAAGCCCTCTGAGGACAGGCCTGGTGTGGAATTCCTAGAGCCTGGCATTCAGAACCCTGGGTGAATCAGCTGCCTCCCATTCAGCCCTATCCCTAGAGTCCCTTGTTGGGCCCTAGGGGTACCTGCCCTTGAGGACAGTGCCTGCACGGACAGCTGCTGACTCTGCATAACCTTCCAGAGATGTGCTGAGGCCAGCAGTTCCTGCTCTGCAGGGGAGCTCGGCTCACAGGACTGTTTTCCACCAACTTTACAAATCCCTGGCTTCAGCCCCAAAGCGGGATGACCGGGTTTATGTTGATCACCCAAGAGCCTTCAGCTTTCTAGAAAGCTCATCGTCATTCAGCGGCTCAGGTTTCCCCCTTGAAACCTCAGAGGAAAGATAAGGAATGCTGCTGCAGCCCGGGTCATCCCAGGGGTCCCTAGAGGGCAGGGGTCAGCTCCAAGGAAGCCTTCTGGGCTCTGGAAATTAGACTGAGCTGCGTGGCAGGATCTCCACAGGACTGGGGACAGGAATGTGCCTCTTGCCGTCCCAAGAATGGGAGGAACGGGAGGAACGCAGCGGCCTTCCTCTGCTCCTCAGGAGGGGCTAGACTCCAGCTCAGAGCGGTGCTCAGCAGTTAGACATCCTACACTTGCCAAGGAAAAGCCTTTAAGTTTGCACCCTCATTTACACAAGGCTCTTAGGCTGCAGGTCTGTGTGTGACAAGCACTTGCTATGAACCAGTTACCTGGCAGGGGCCCCCAACCTCCTGGAGTTCATGTCTTAGTTGGGGAGACAGGCAAGGACGGGCATGCTTGGAGCCAAAAAGAAGCCAGTGTGAGCAGAGCAAGATGGTGTGTATGTGAGGGGCTATCTCTATGACTCTTTTCTAACCAGCTCCTGCCAGGGGCTGGGAGACCTTGACCCTGCACAGATAGCAGCATCCATGACCTCAGGAGCCTTGATTAACAGCAGCAGCAGCAGCAGCCTCCGAGCTACAACTGTTCCCTTGGCTTCCGGTAGCTCCAGAACCCAGCCCTGCCAAGGGCTGCCGCCACTTTCCTCTGGGGCAATGGCCATGCGGGCAGTCTGTCCCAACAAGGAAACTGCAAGCAAGGAGGTGGAGGAAACTGATTCAGTTTCTGATCTGTGGAGAAAAAAGACCAGGGATGATACATTGCCAGTTTCCCTCACCACGTGATAGTGTTTATATACATGAACTAATATTTTCCTGGAGAGAAAAGAAATCACATGTAATGTTCATAATGTTGCCCACCCCGACTCCCAGAGGGCAAGTGATGTTTGTGTATATCTTGGAGCTTCCTTGGAGCTAACCCTTACCCTCTAGGGACCCCTGGGATGACCCAGGCTGTGCAAGATTCCCCCACGTGGCTTCTCCTGGGCACAGGTTTCCTCTGAAGATTCCAGAGCCGTGCTTGAGTCCAGGAAAATCGTGGCCCTGGCCTCTGTCTCTGCTCTCGCAGCCTAAGGCTACATACCTTTCTGTCTCCATGTTCACCGTCTGGTGGCAAGAGCCCTGCCGCCAGGCCAGCAGACCTGTACGGGGCCTGGCTGCAGCATCTTCGAGCTGTGGGAGCAGGAAGGCTTCAGGCCAGCTCACATCTCAGGGCTGTGGAGGGAGTTCCCTGAGGCCGTGCCAGATGCTCTGCTGCTGGCACAGTGCCTCTTGGGAACATTGACTCCTGGCCTTCCCAGGCAGACTCTGATCCCTGAGACAGTGTGAGGCTGCCACCTGAGCACCAGATTGGGAACCGAGGACACACAAGTAGTCCCAGTGCCTCCTCACAACTTAGGGTGGAAAATAGCACTCAACATCACACCTACATTCTGTGTGTCAGAGCATCAGGGTGGACAGGGCTCGGATCGCAGCCACTTAGAGGCATGGTTACTCACACGTCTGGTACCTGCTGCTGGCCGTAGCATCAGCAGTGCAGCACAGCTGGAGCCTCTTCATGTGGCCTGGGCTTCCCCAGAGAACAAAAGGCTCAGGGTCATCAGACTCCTGCTTGGCATCTGGCTGTCCCCAGAGCAGAAATGGGGAGGGCAGCGAGCAAACTGTGAAGTAGCCTCCCCATGAGCCAGTCTCCGAAGCCAGGCAGCCTCACCTCAGCCTTCCCCTGAGTGTCCCGGAGCCTGGTTCAGGTCCAAGCAAGTCCACTGGGGCAACCAAGGACTGTGGAGCACTCCAGACAGTTTCCCCGAGGGAACCCCCTGCGCGTCATCTTCACCGTCTGGTGCTGACCTGGGCTGAGCACCTTCCCAACCCTGCCCGCGTGCTCACTGAGTGTACCCAGCCCCTGCCTGGCAAGCTCCCGGCCTCCTGTGTCACTTTCCCACTCCCTTTCTGTAGGCAAAGACACCAGGGTACTCACCGTGGCTCACACATCACAGAAGAGGCAGAGCCCACACTGGGGATCAGGACAGGTCTGTCACCTGTGTCCAACACACGGAGCATGAAGGCTGCAATGAGGGCTCTGTCCCTTTCATCCTGTGTGCTTGTTCAGGGATTAAGTACCTGCCTTGGACGATTGATAGACCTGCATGTCTCTACCTTATAGATTTTTTTTTAAAGAGACATGGGTATCGTTATCCCAGACTGGCCTCATGCTCAATATATAGCCCAGGATGGCCTTGAATGTTTAATCCTTCTCTTCTCCCTCCTGAGTGCTGGGACTGCAGATAATGTTGCCACACCCAGCTTCTTACAGATGCATCAGGTCATACAGGGTAACAGATGCATTGAGTTTGTAGGAATCAGGACCCCAAACTTTATTTTGTGTTCAGTCCCCTTGCCTCATCCAGCTGGGCTGCTTCAGGCCTGGCTGTCTGTGGAAAGAGCAACAGTGTGGCCTTCTCTCTGACCCAACAGTTCTCCAGATCCCTCGACTTGCTAGCCACAGCCCCGTCTGCCTCAGTGCTGCTGCTGTCTTGGGGCGCAGTACCCTGCAAGGGGCAGTTGTAAAGCTGTCATCTCTCCAGGACACTTCCACGGATGTCCGTGTGTCCTCAGCCTGACTCTGAAGTCCCATCAGAGTCACCATTCCATCAGCAGCTTCCTGCTGAGATCCCCTCACCCCCTCACGCTGCGCTGCGCATGGCCTTCTCACTGGAGCCCTCCGTCCACACGAGGCCAGGCTAGCCCTCATCCTGACGCGGGTGGGCGAGGGTGCAGCTCTCGCTGTGCTCTGTGGGGCACCTTTGAAATGCTTGAGTAGAAGAGAGCGCGGGCAAGAGGCGGGGCTGCTCTCTCTAATGCCTTTCCTCTGCAAACTTCCCATGCTAAGGCAGGGTGGGTGGGCGTCTCCGAGAGAGCTCAAGGGCTAGCAGCAGGTGACAAAGACTCAGCCTCATCTGCTCCCTCCACGGTCTGCAGGGGCCCAAGCACCTTGATTGCCACAGCTTCCAAGCATCCTTGGTGTTCCCACTCTGGCCTGTCGGCAAGGGGAGACAGTGCCGCTTCAGCCCAGAGATGGTGAACACTGCTTCTCAGAAGGAAATGAACTGGACCTTCTGCACAGAGACACATCTTGGCTCTCAGCGAGACTCATGAGAGCCGTGTGTGTGGAAAGCAGAATGTGCGTGAACATAGAAATGAGTGGCTCCCAGGCCCACCAGAGACCTGGCTATGGAAAAGTTTCCACACAGAGACGGCAGAGGGGCCCAGTGGCCCAGGAGCTGCTCTGGCCGACCCAGAAGGGCTGAGTCCTGGATCTCATAGGAAGGCTCTCCACATAAACAGGGGAAGCAAGAGACTCTGAACCCTTCAGCTGGGTGACAGCCTGCCCCCGCCCCACCCCGGAGGCTCAGAGTTGTCCTGGACAGAGTTCCAGATGGCAATCGCAGTGCCTGGAGGGAGATGGCATGAGTCCCTGTCCAGCGGGGCCTAGAGGTGGGACTGGAACCCAAGTCTTGTGACTTCAAGTTGCTGCTTTCCTCTGCCACAGCTGCCTCCCCTTAATTTCCAGTGTGTGAGACTTGGAAAGCCCAACTGGAATGGGACAGTGCTGGCCCAGAGCAGGGCCTGTCAGAAATCCTGCAGAAGAGGCTCCTTTGCCCACAGTGTGCGCTCCTTGTAGCCATGCCCATGGCCTCCAGGCGAAGGTCCCACACTGGACTTACTCATGTTCCCCTAGATCTGTGCCCCAAGTGCACACTGCTCCATATAGAGGATTACTCTCAGTCCCTTCCACATCCCAGGACACTGTGTGTGTGTGTGTGTGTGTGTGTGTGTGTGTGTGTGTGTGTGTGTGTGTGTGTGTGTGTGTAGAGAGAGCACTCTCAGGACACTGTGTGTGTGTGTGTGTGTGTGTGTGTGTGGAGAGAGAGACAGACAGAGAGACAGACAGAGAGAGACAGAGACAGAGAGAGAGAGAGAGAGAGAGAGAGAGAGAGAGAGAGAGAGAGAGAGAGAGAGAGAGAGAGAACATGCTCCCAGTTCCTGGGCTTGGCCACGTCTAGTTACTCTCCAGCCAGAGGCACTTTCTAAGATACGCATCTGAGCATGTCCCCACCCTCACCTTAAGAACTCAAGGCCCCCCGCTGTCTCCCCTCTGAGCCTCTGAGCACACTGCTCCTTCTGCCCCTGTTGCTGCTCGTGTCAGGCTCTTGTACCAGGCAGGGTGTCGAGTCTCCCACAAGTCTTTTCTATCCCTTCCTTATGTTCCTCTAAAACCTATGCTGCTGTGAGGCTTAAATAAGGTCAAGTGGACACGGTGTACCATTGGTTGTGGCCACAGTAGATGCTAAGTCAGGGTTGGACATTATCGTGTCCCCTTCTTGATGCTGTCACACTGTTGGTGCAGTTGGTGCTCTTGCCCTGTTGGTCACGACTGCCCTCCTTTCAGAGCCTCTGTTCTGCTGGCTGCAGCCACCTGTGGCCCCTCTTTCCCCTCCTGAGTTGCCATTACCCTGCAAGCAGGGCGTCATGGCTTTTCTGATCTATGATGTTGCTGCCCAGGGGCAGCCCAAGGTCTGGTCTTCCTAAACATTTGTGGCAGAAAAAGAGCCACTGTTTAACTCTTGACAGGGAGGCAACAAAGGACAGGCTCCTCATCTCTTGTTTACATATGTAGATCCAGGGCTCGAGGGACAAGGTGACCTCCCCAAGGCCACTCAACAGATACAGATGAGAGCCCAGACCTCTCCACCTCCAGGACCAGAGTCCCTTTCTGTCACCATACATCATGAGGGCTTCTGGCTACTCCAAGACTGTTGTTATTTGAAGGCCAAGTGTTTTGTTTTTCCTCTTTCAATCAATGAGTGGTCTGTTGGGCAGTATGTTGGTTTCTTGTAATGAAAACCAGATTTATTTTCAACATATCTGGTTGCCTACAGAAACTGTCAATTCTCATATGGTCCAATAAAACTGCTAAAGAAACAGCCACTTAAAGAGTTTTAAAGATTATTCATGGAAAACCTATGCTGAGGAAAAATAGAGCAATCCTTTGAGATAATCAGGCCACATGGTCAGTTTTTCCAGCTGTCCATGCCATATCAGGCTGGGCAGTGGGGCCTGCATTCAGCTGTGGAGACCGGAGCCCCCATTCATCACCACCCCTACCCTGCCTGAGGACATGACCAACAAGCTTACCTGCCACCCGGCCAGAAGGCACGAGTCCTGGCACTGTCACATGGGGCCACCCCAGGCTTGGAGGAGCAGGAACATGAGGCCTTTTGGTAGCAGAGGGTGTCACTTACTGGCAGAAGGGCCCCTCATCTGGGTCTCAGCCGAATGGAAATTCTTCTGTTTCCACGTCAGACCTAGGCTGTTGGTCAACAATGCTGGGAGAATGTGGGGGAGGACGGGGGTGAGACCTCGAGCCCAGAGAGCAGCAGCAGCCCTGACACGGGCCCAGAGGCCAAGGCTCTTCCGCTGGGGCCCCCGCCCACCTCCCCAGCTGGTCCAGGGGCATCTGAGGCCAGGCATGCTTCCCGAGGCTCCAAAGCAGAAAGGAAAGGGGCAAATCCAAGCCTCGCCTTGGAGAGAGAATCCAGAGTTGAGTGGAAGCAGCCAAAGGGACTCTGAAAGGCGTGTGAGAGCTCAGAGTACGAGCAGAGCTAGAAACAAGAGCTACATGGATCCGAGTGAGAGTGAACGTCCTCCGAGTGGCCAATTCCTCAGTAGCCAACTTCAGCCTCGTGGCTGTGTTACACCTCTAGGGCTCCCCACCTCCCTATGTCAAGTATGCTGGAGCCAGTGAGCTGGGTCATGAGCATTTATACAGTGCTGCTCACAACTGGTACATATTGGGTGCTGGGTCTGCGCAGAACCTGTATACTGAACCCCTCCACACACACAAGCCCACTGCACACCCAGGTTTGGGTACTGCCTTCAGATTGCAGCAGATCTGTAAACCTGCCTTGTCCTCTGCCTAATGTGGCAACTAAGAGTGCATACTTCATGGCTTGAGGCATGGCCCCAGAGAGCAATGCCAGGTGTGCAGTGATCATCCTGTCATTTCTGCTCCAACACCAGGGCTCTCGCAGGCTCTCTGTTCAGCCCTCCTACAGAGGGTCCTTGAGATTTAAGCAGTGGAGCTGTCATTTGTCCTCCGTCCTCCTGTGGTTGCTGATAAACAAGGGGCTCCACCCTCTGGAATCTTCTCTTAAGGCAAAAGCAAAACAAAGCAGCACACTACTGTCTTCCTCCTGGGAGCAGCAGCAAGAGCTGTTTCCTCAAGGGTAGAGGCATCCCGTGACCCTGGATGTAGACCAGAGGGTCCTCCTGGGGCCCTGCAGGGCCGCCAGAGAGCCACACAGTCACATCCTCCAAGGACAGCCCAGTGTTTGGGGCAGATGTGTTATGTCCTGCGATAGAGGCAGAACCTCAGAGTAGCCAACACCAGTGTGCAAGTCCTGACCAGGGACGCACATTTGGACAGAGGTGTTGGTGCAGTTTCAGCTGGCCCGACTCAAGGCCTTTCTTACCCCTTCTATATCCCTCTGGGCTTGTGAAGTCCAGGTAGGACCTTTGCTTTAAGGTTCTACTCTTATGCACAGCGGAGCTGCTTAGCTACTCGACCTGGGAGCCTCAGGCCTTCCCTCTGGGAGTTAGTGACCCTGGGAAGGGAGGGTAAGCATCCGATAAATGGGAGGCTGCTGTTGGCTTTGTGTGAACCTTGTCCTACCCATGACAGCTGGGGAAAGGTCCATAGCCCAAACCTAGAGCCTGGCTCCTCAGAGTCTCTACCCTGGTCTTGCCCCCGCAGCTCCTCCCATCACTCTCCCTCTGTTTTTTTCATAGGCCCTTCTGCTGGTCCCAGCTCAGCCAGGTTCCGCCGGAGGCCCACCTGTCCTGATGCATCTGTGGCTGGCAGCCTTCCCACGCCACCAGTCCCCAGACACAGGAAGAGCCACAGCCTGGGCAACAAGTGGGTGACTGAGCAGCCCTCTTCTGGGCTGAAGGAGTGCTGGGTCCTTCCCCATCCCCATCTGGGAACTCTTTTCCCAGCAGGCACTCTCCTAAGGCTGCTGTGAGCTTGGGAGTGCAGAGGAGCACCTGGTAGCATAGTCTCTGTGCCAACCCCAGGGATCCAGGCTCAGGAGCTAGTAAAGATATATGCCCAACTCGGCTGCCAGCTCATTTAGGGACAACTGGGTCCAGCAGACAGCAGTGTTTATCCTCAGGGCACAGAGCACCTGCTGGCTCACTGGCCCCGTAGGGCCCACAGCTCGGGGACATGTAGATCCTCAGCGTGGTTGGAGATAGCCAGGCCCGCATCCCCTGGGCATTGGTCACAGGTTTCCAAACAGAGGGACGCCCTTCCTTGTCACCTTTTCTGCCTCCCTGCTTCCTTTCCTCCCTCCCTTCCTCCTTTCAACCTGCATCCTAGCACTAAGGCACAGGTGTCATGCTTCTTGGTTGGTCTTGGTGAACCTCAGAGGCAGGAGCAGGAAGACAAAGTTGCTTTGGGTCCATGGTGCCTCCTCTTCTCCAGACGTTGTCACACACCTGTAGACACCATCTCACTGAACCATGGGAATCTCTGAGCAGGTGCTGCCCTGTGCATTGCGGCTCCAGGAAGGGTCACAAAGTTCTGGCCCTCCTCAGGATGGCCCGCCCGTCCTTCCCCTCGACCTCATCTCACAAGCCTCACCATCATCCTGGGAGACAGGCAGGGCAAACAGCATTGGTCTCCATTGACAGATGAAGAAGTTGAGGCTCAGAAAAAGGATGTGACTTGCCCAAGGTCACACCACGAGAAAGGGCAGAGCCTGGGCCACCAGCGGGCTCAGGGCACAGGCGTCTCCCTCCAGCAGCTTGTCCTGGCTCCAGCCCCCAGGGCCGTGTGCCACTCTGCTCCCAGGATAAGGGGCTTTGCCTTCTCTCTTCCTCTCCGTTTTCCAGTATGATGTGTCAGTTGAGTGTAGTTGAAAGTAAGAGTGCAACATTCCCATCGGAGAAGGCCAGGCACCTGCTGGACGACAGCGTCCTAGAGTCCCGCAGCCCCCGCAGGGGCCTCACCCTCACCTCCTCCACTGCCGTCACCAACGGACTCTCCCTAGGTAAGCGTCTCTGGCCTGTACACGCAGGCAGGGGCAGCAGGCCCAGTGTGTGCTCCATGTCTGTCTCTGTGTCACTGTGCTGTGCCCAGTGGCCCCTCACCCTGGAAGAATGGCCTCCCTACAGGAGTCTCCTGCTGCAGGGAGGAATTCCGGGTTGGCCTTCTCCTTCTGGTAGTCCCCAAATGGGCAGTCAGGTTGAAGAAGGAAGATGGACTTAAGTCCACCTCAACCCCGAGGCTGGCTGCTACCTTGGTGGCATTTAACGTCCCAGGGGGAGCCCAAAGCCCTGCTTGGAGCAGTAGGTGGTGGGCCACTGCCTCACACTGTGTGCTTGCGTGTCTTTACAGAGGAGCCGGGGGTGGGGGGGGGAGGTGAGGATGTGAGCCTCAGGAACGGCCGTACACTACTGCAGAGTGGCAGGCGGGACTTGTGTCCATGGAGCTGCAGAAACAGGGCTGCTGGTATCAGCAGGGAGATGCCAACATTAGGGCTGGGCTAGCATGGAGCTGAACTCAGAGATCTGTTCCCCTACAGAGATCAGGTCAACTAGAACAAGGGACGCCACCCTGTGATTGCTGTCATCCGCCTAGTGCTCCATTGATAGCCTTTGCCTTTCGGTGTGCCTGTGTGTTTGTCTGCTTCCACTAGCAGAGAGTTCCTCCTGGGCTGATGGCATGCTGACATTTGCTCTGGTGAAGTCGGTGGGCCAGAGGGCCAGGGGCTTGGAGAGGCAAAAAACAGGGACAGGTGGGCATCTCATGCCACATATTCCTGTGAACTTAGGCTAGTCTTGAGAGCCACAAATAATTTCAGTCAAGGGCAGCTGCCTCCTAGAAGTTTGTGACAAGTTCCATATCTGGCTTCTGTCTTCAGAGGAAGTCATCCTGTTTGGACCCAGTGCAGGAAGTGTGGACAGTTGTGTCTTAGGCTCATAGGTATGACTTCATAGAAGCAGTCCAGGCCCCCGAGCTCAGGAAAGGTAATCAGACTTCTTCCCTGAGCCTTCGCTGTGCAATTGGGCACTGATCTCTCCAGCCTGCTAGGTCCTACTGATGGACCTCATCTCAGAGAGTATGATGGGACCTGGGTTCTTATGAGGGCCCATGAGGGCACGACTGTGCCCCAAGCAGCTGTTTGACATCCAGCCTGAGTCTGGGCTGCGGCCCCTGAGAGTGAGTTAGGTGCTATGTTATCCTGCATCTGGGGGGAATCACAAGCTTGTTTGGCTCTGGTTCAAGTCAGGGGACTCAAGCCATTTTTCTGCTTGAGCTGAAAGCTCTGAGACAGTGGAGTGTCTGTGTGTGTCCTGATGGAGACAGTGCTGAGCTGCTCCCCACCCGTGCAGCAGGGAATGGGGCGCTGCTCTGGCCAGGAATCCCTTGCCTTTTCCAGTGCTCAATCTTAGAGCTCTTTCTGGCAGATCCCTGAACTTTAGAGCCTGCAAAGTCCAAGGCATGCCTAGAGGGCCACAGGGTGCTCATTTAGCTCCAAGACACAGGCCTAGGGAGCCAGGATGCCCCACTCATGCCTGGCAGACCATGGTCAGCTCCAGAGTGTGGGTCTGGAAGAGATTAGGAAGGCGAAAAAGGATCACAACAGGCCTTGGCAGTATCTCTGTGGGCCAGGAGACTGCAGTGGCCCTCCTTTGGGGTCTCTCTTGTACTGGCAGATGCATCTAGACCAGCCCTGACCCTGGGCCCAGAAGTGCTCAACCAGCCTGTACCCTCTGCAGGTGAGGCGCTGGGGCAGAGAGCAGGCAGTAGTGCAGACAGACCTGAGCACCCTGGTCCCCCAAGCCAGAGGGCAGGCAGAGGGAAGGTTCTCCGAGCCCTCCCAGAGAAGAGAAAGGCATGACCACAGAAGCTAAGTCCTTTTGTGACCCACAGGGTCAGGATGCTGTGAGCTTGGGGACGGGGCTGTGACCGGGAGCCCAGGAGAACAGGCCCCTCTCTCGGAGGTTGCCATCTCACTGATCTGTGTTCCTTTTCCAGGCAGTAGTGAGAGCTCAGAGTTTAGTGAAGAGATCTCTGCAGGGCTGGAAAGGTGAGTGTGGCCTCAGCAAGGCCTCCCTCCCTCGGGAAACTCAGGGCCCAGGGAGCTGGAGTCAGGGGTCCCTGCCCCGCCCACATTTTACATTGCACAACTGCACTGTCACACCTGTGTGTGCACACACTCAACACAAATCTCACTCACATGCACACAGGCGGATACATTCATAGTTCACTCCTGTACTCATGCGTATGTGGGTGTATATCCGGGCCTAGAAAGTGCTCCCCTTTTTTTTTTTTTTTTTTTTTTTTTTTTGTCAGCTGGCACTCATGAGTGCACTTGGTTCAAGCCAGCTACAGGAGACCTGGGAGCCTAGGACTTACTGCTTGAAGTCTTGAGATGGGTACATGGCTCCATCTGGTGATACCTGAGAGTATTGCACCCAGGCAGATGGACAGTTTTAAAAACTACTATCATGTGTCGTTGTGGTTCCTGTCAGCCTACCTGCCCCAGGTATCCACCCTCCCATCAGGAATTCACCCACAGCATGCACCCCATGTCCTAATGCTTCTTGGGCCACCATCAGGGATCCAAGAAGACATGGCCCTGCAGGTGCTGAAAGGTATCTTGTGACTTGAGGTCTGAGGACACATAGGGAAGTCCAGTGATGACGAACGTCCCTGAGATGCAGGTTTCCATTGTCCTTCAGGATAGGTCCTAGGAGCCTGTGTGCATCTGAGTACTCTCACGAGTACACATGTACACAAAGTTACATAGTCTGTGTGTGCACGTGCACAGAGTTGTACAGTCTATTTATAGACGTGGCCATGGTTACAGACTCTCACACATAACAAACACATGCACAGATTCTGGCACATACTCAACACATTCACACATTTGTGTGTATTCACACATGTATACATACACAGTTACACTCAGTGCACATACTCAGTTACTTATGCACAATTGCTCTGTCACACTTCTGTGTGCATACACTAAACACAAATCTCACACACATGCACACAGACGGACACATTCATAATTCACTCATATACATGAATATGTGGGTGTATGCATTCACACACATTACACCATACAACACACACACACACACACACATACACACACGCCTGTGTATGTACACACTCCTCTGAAGCTAAAGCTTCAGTCCCTATAATCGAAAAGTGTCCAGAAGAAATCATCCTATCTGGACACTTTCCACAGGGCAGAGAGGCTCAGTGGTTGCCCAGGCTGAGCATTCCCTGTGTTCCAGGCTCTGTCTGGACATTGCCCATCTGTAGATTTCCTGCAGCCTTGGTGCTCCTCTGTAGCAGTGAAAGGAGAACCCCACAGGCCCCAAGGGACAGACTCCGGAACTCCTGGTCCCGGTGGGGGATTCCTGGGGACACCCTGTAAAAGAAGGCCATAGGCAGCCGGCGCTCCTCTGGCCACCATCCAGTGGCATCTTAGGCTGGCGCTAACATCCATAGAAGCTCTGTGCGTCCCTCCTTTGTTTGTCCTTTCATTCATTCGTTCCTTCTTTCACTCATGAGTCACTCAGTAACTGCTTAGTTAGCACTGTGCCTGCATGCTAGCCACCAAGGTAGCGCTGTGGCTGGAGTGGTGCCTGTAGGGAAGAGGGTGGCAGGGGGCCATGCCGTGACCACTGCAGGTCACTGTGCACCTGAATCTCTGCAGCAGATGCTCCCAGGCAGACTCTCCTCTGAGCACTGGCCTTCTGGCTCTTCTCTGCATATGCCCAGCCTCGATTCCAATAGCCCTGAACAGCCATGCCTCCAGCGGCCCTGGAGCTGCTCTTCACAGAAAGGATCATGGCTCAATGTTTCTTAGCTGAGGAGAGCAGGAGGCCACTTGCTTTAGAAGATGCCAGTGGGGCTATGATGTCCCCTCTCATCAATACCCAACCCCTGACCGACCTGAGGAACCAGAAGCTAGCTGACCCCAGCCTCGGCCAGTGTTTGTAAGAGTCTGCTCCCCAAAGGCCTGCCAGCAGTCTGCGCTTTTCTGTAGACTGGCCGCAGCAGAAGAGGCACCATTGTCTCTTCAGTTCTGCCACCGTCTTGTCACTTTGTGAAACCCTTCACCCTAACCTTCAGGCAGCCAAATGCTCAGCCCCACTGGGACATCTGTGCACTCCAGACCACATGCTCCTGCTCTTAATAGGGGGATGGGGTCTAGGCGTTCCCGGGGCTGGTCCCAGAGGCCCGCATCTGCTGGAAAGAGCCTCCCTTCCAGGTCCTCACAGATCTGTAAGATGCATTGCCTGCTAGAGCAAAGGTGGGAGGCTCAGAAGGGGGCTGGGCCCACTGGAAGGAATGCAGGTATGAGGAGGCGAGCAGCAATGCTCGGCCCACAGCGCTGGAGTTCAGCAGCCACAGTCACACTGGCTAGCCCCTTGTTCCATCACCCCCACCCCCACAAGCACTGGTTGTGAATCTGCCCAGGCCAGAAAGAGAAAGAGCCACACGCCAGCATAGAGGGCAGAGAAACTGCAGAGCAGCGTGAGTGTGTGCACGTGGTTCTGGTGGCCCCAGGGCACAAGTGAGTAACCGTTGATGCCCAGTGAGCAGCAGGGCAGTAGTTTTCATGGCCAACACTGGGGTCATTTGGCCCCTTCTTGTGAGTTTGCACACGTGGGGTCCAGAGATAGTCCTTCAAATGAGGCAGAGCCCAGGCCACATGTGGCCAGTGTGTCCCTGAGGGGCGCTTTTTCAGAGTGCCTAGCGAGCCATGAACTGCTGCAGAGGCACCAACCCCTGTCCTTGCTGGACACCAGAATGAGAATTCAGGAGCCAGGGGACTCGCTGCTGTGTTGTTCCCCTTTCCACCCCACATGTATGTCAGCCATCCAAGGCCAAAGGTCTCATGGCTGGAGATGGCAGACATGCCAGGGAGGTGTTCATTGATCATTTCTTAGCCTTCAGGTAAGGCCTCTTCTGCATCCTCAGGGTGAAAATGATGTGGCCTTATCAATCACAGGGGAGCGGAGTGGGGGTGTGCCCACTCTTCTGTGATTTTAGCAGCGGCAGCTCTGACCTGCCGGGGCAGAGGTTAAAGGAAAGCCTCACCGTACTTGCCACTTCCGTGAGACGGAGAGGTGGCCCCGCAAGCCTGTGAATGGACTGGAGAGTAGGCTTGGAGCCTGGCACCAGGCCAGGTTTCAGACAGCCTCAGGCTCTGGCTTTGGGCCCTAAGAGGAAACCAGAAATTCAGCTAAGGGTCAAAGTTTTTTGTTTTTTGTTTTTTGTTTTTTGTTTTTTTTTTTGGTTTGTTTAAGATTGTATTTATTCATTTGTTAGGCATACAGTGTTCTGTGTGATTGTATGCCTACTCACCAGAAGAGGGCACCAGATCCCATTTAGATGGTTGTGAACCACCAAGTGCTAGGGATTGAACTCAGGTCCTCTGGAAGAGCAGCCAGTGTTCTTAACCTCTGAGCCATCTCTCCAGCCCCCAAAGTCTTTTCTAAAAGGAGGTTTTAAAAGAGGAATGAAATGGATTATAGAGGTGAATAGAGACAAAAACATGAAAGCATGCGGTGTCCTTTGCCTTGGTTATCTCTGCATTGCAGGATTTTTGAGGATTGCCACCCTCATAGTCTCCAAACTTCACAATGTATCAGTCTGTCTTTTCTAATCAAAACTATTTAACATTCCGAAAGAAGATGTCATCAGAAATGATCACTGTTTCTAAATAAGCAAAATATGCAAGTGTGTCAGAGTTCATCACAAATCCTCCCTGACGCTCTTCCCAGCTGGACATTGCCACGTGGAGGAACTGGGTTCTCATGTTAGGGATGGGCAGCAATGGCAGCAATGGGAGGTATCAGACAAGGAGAGGGCCGCAAGGGATTGAGCCTGTTAAGTGGGGGTGGGCAGAAGAGAGGAAGGGGGCGGTGCAGCGCTCTCTCTCTCTCTCTCTCTCTCTCTCTCTCTCTCTCTCTCTCTCTCTCTCCATCCCTCCTTCCCTCCTTCCCTCCCCCTTCTCTGTCTGTCTCTTTGTCTCTGTCTCTCTCCTCTCTGTCTGTCTGTCTCTCTCTGTCTGTCTGTCTGTCTCTCTCTCCCCATCCCTCCTTCCCTCCCTCCCCCTTCTCTGTCTGTCTCTCTGTCTCTGTCTCTCTCTCTCTCTGTCTGTCTGTCTCTCTCTCCCCATCCCGCCTTCCCTCTCTCCTTCCCTCCCTCCCCCTTCTCTGTCTGTCTCTCTGTCTCTCTCTCCCCCTCCCTCCTCCCTCCCTCCTTCCCTCCCCCTTCTCTGTCTGTCTCTCTGTCTCTGTCTCTCTCCTCTCTGTCTGTCTGTCTCTGTCTGTCTGTCTCTCTCTCCCCATCCCTCCTTCCCTCTCTCCTTCCCTCCCTCCCCCTTCTCTGTCTGTCTCTCTGTCTCTCTCTCCCCCTCCCTCCTTCCTCCCTTCCTTCCCTCCCCCTTCTCTTTCTGTCCCTCTGTCTCTCTCTCTGCAGGAGAGGGTTGTCTTCCTGCAGGGGTTGGGGACACAGGAAATCCATCAGGATTCTTGGAGCCTTGAGGAAGAAACACCCTGTGCACGGTGGGGTAGCCTGCAGCAGCTGCAGGTTCAGGCTGAGGGAGTTTGCTGAAGAGGACCTGAGCCATTGTGAGGTTGAAAGGAGAGTTCTAAGTCGTGGCTGGGGTGGGAAAGGTGGTGCATGAGTGCTCAGGGTTTCCGGGGGATCTTGTATAAGAGGGGCGAGCTCCATAATACGTCCTGTTATCTTGAGACCAGGAAATGTACCGTCATGGCCACTTACACTCGCAGTTCAGACAATCTCCGTCCCTCTGCTGTGCAGTAGGGACACATTGGTCACCACTAGCTGTGGATAGCTGCTGCAGGAGGAAGTGGTATAGAGGCTTAGTGCCTTAGTGAATGCTTCTGCGCAGGAAGCTACAGAGGCCAGGGCTAGTGGCCATTCATGGAGTCTTTATGGACTTGAATGAAGGTGGTTTCCACCAACTGATGCTGACTTCTCAGTGGCACTGATCTGGGGAGGGTCCTCGGAAGGCAGTTGGCCTGTGAGTGATGGTTAAGTGCCAAGGGAAGTGGTTGGTGCAGCCTCTGCCCTGGGTGTTGTTTCCTGATGGTCTTGGCTAGTGGAGTCATGGTTGTAACAGAATGCCACCCCCAGAACAGTTTGTGTCCTTAGAGTCAGAGGACTTCAGGAGATGTCCCAGGTGTGCCGAGCCCTGCGTTTTGCTGTATTTGTAGAGAATTAGGCCCAGCTCTGGAGCAAGCGTTTGCCTTAGCTGTAACCCGTTTGTGTGAATGCCGGAACCCAGAGGCCCAGGATCCCAGCCTCTCATCCCCCACTAGGGCTCCCTGAATTCTAGCTTCCCTGGGTTAACCCATGTGCCTGGATTAGGCTTCTCTGCCCAGCCTTGCAGGATGTCCGCCCAGTTGGCTGATTTTCCAAGCTGATTATATGGCTCCTGAAGACATTGTATCTTGCTTCACTCCCTTAGAGATGAGTGAGGCTCCTGGTAGATTCCTCTGGAAAAGAATGGGCAAAGATGCCTGGACCCAGAGCTTGACCCTGTCCTTGGCTGTGGCAGTCAGGGAGGGGCCCTGTCAGTCAGCGGCTGCCTCGTTGGTGGTCCACAGCTTCTCATCTCTGACTCCTTCAGAGCCAGGGTCTTGAAATGGCAAAGCCTACGTTTCCATCTGACTGTCCTCCTGCTGCATCTCTGCGGCATTTGCTATTCCCATTGCACACCAGACTCTGAAGCTCTCGGCACACAGACGGTATTAGATGCCTTACAATGCCTAGGCTCAAGTGGGTGGCTTTACCCAGCCAGATTTCCAGCCTGACCTCAGTCCCAATGGCCAGGAGAGAAATCTGGTTTTGGTTTACATTCAGCTTCCTGATTGATGGAAAAATGCAGTGTTTTACCAGTATGGTTCCCATGGTTCCCAGGAACTCATTTCGTGACTCCAGTACATTATCCAAAGAAGGGCGTGTGCCCCAGGAGAGCAGAGGTCTTGCTTGCAAGAAGGGCTGTCCCAGGACTCCTCAGGAGTCAGGCTGGTATTTCCTGCCCACAGATGAGAGTGACTCACCAGCAAGTGACCCTATGGGACTAACAGTTCCTCTAGAGCTGGCCAGAGCAGTAAGCACTGTTGGTGCACAGCACTATGCGGGCCTGTCCACAAACCACTCCCAGTGGGATTCTGGGAATCTGAGACAGAAGAATGGTGTGGGGGTGACTTCTGCCAGAACCAAAGTCCCTAGGACGTAGATAGAGCTGTCATCTAAGATGTCTCTTGTTCCTCCACACTCCTAGACGGTCAGCTGCCTTGTAAATTTCAACTTTGAGATACCCACCACCCGGTGCAAACCTAGGGACCAATGCCTTGCTCAACCCCAGTGCTCATTGTGCTGGTACAGGTCGCTTCCACCTGGCTTCCTTTTCTAGTGTTGTGGCCTTGGGCAAGTGACTCCCCATCTGCAAGTCTCAGAGTTCTTACCCGTGAGGCAGGCTAGTGCGGTGCCTACCTAGTCGCACCGTGTGGCTCACCGAGACGGTGAATGGACACCGCTGCGCACATTGCCTGGCACCCGCCAACCCATCTTCGCTACCGCGTCTCTCCACCGCCTCCTCCCCAGCCACAGCAGCAGTCCGTCATCTCACCCAGTTCCCGTCATTGTCACCGTCATTGTCTTATGAACCCTGGGGTTAGATAAGCTGTGCTATCTGGTTGCTTGCCTACATCCTTCCTACGCAAACTTCCCATGAGCCTCTGGTCTGGAGTAGCTCAGATCCATCCTCAGGAAGGGGGTCAGCTCTGAGAATGTGTGTTCAGTTACATGTTACCAGAATGATCCTAGGGAAGATGCCCGTGGCTCCGGAGTTGGGGCCCCAGGAGAGAGCCTGTGATTTCTGGGGCTCCTTAGATGCTATTGTCCATTTGTTCTGCATTTTGTGGCAGTGGGGAGGAGACAGGCTGTCTGGCTCCCGTGGTGCATGGTCCTGGCTACTCCAAGGCTCCTCCCCCAGCTCACAGGGAGAGAGAGAAGGGTAGATGCTGCCCCGGCCCTCTTCTAAGGGGTGGGAAAAGGTCACCGCCACGCTCCCTTCCACACTTGGGGCTGCCACATGGTTCCAGGGCAGGCTGTGGTGTCTACCCTGTGGGACAGTGAGGCCTTCGCCCCATGGTAGAAGCAGGCCTCCTCTGTGAACGCGTGTGTCTCCATCTCCACAGCAGGCCAGCTTCTCCTCAAGCCTCGGTGCTCTCACCTTTAGATATGAGAGTGGCGCCCCCTCTGTACGGTCGGGTGGAGGCGCTGTCAGCTTTAGATATGAGAGTGGCGCCCCCCTCTGTACGGTCGGGTGGATGTGCTCTTGAAAGCAGGTAGGTGGTACATTGTAAGCAGCTGTCAAGACAGGGACTCTGAAGTGCTGGGCAGCCCCCATGCAGAGCACAGGAGAACTGGGAAGTGCCCCACCTGATCTGAGAAGAATCTCAGACCTAAGACTTTCTTGGCCGGTTAACCTCATGCATACGGACACAGCCATGGGAGCTGTGACCCTCAAGGCGACAACACTTAGGAGAGGAGAATGTAGCAAGGCACCACTCAAATTTGGTGCAGTCCCAGTGCGCAGAGTAGGCCCCATCACATCAGCCCTCCCCCCCCCCCAGCTCTCAGTTATAAAAGGCCATATCTCCTGCACAGCGAGGGGTTTGACCTGTACAGTGGAACAGACTGGATTCAGATCTTTATCTGGGATGAGCAGATCCCCATTGCTGAAGCCCAGTCGCTCCTTTTGGGAAGGATAATATTTTGGTGCTTGGACAGACTCAGTGAGAGTGAGCACAGTGACCTATGCATAGCAGCACCGACCGCCTGAGCCCTGTCCGTACACAATCCTCACACTGGACTCCTCTGGAAAGGGCCTGCCAGACCGGACTGCTCGGAAGAAAGGGATTTCAGGCTGTTCTCTGACAGATGTCCATTCTGCCAGCATCTATCAAGGTGGCCTCACAGAAGGGGCTTCTGCTCCCCCCTACTTCTGAATGACTGGCAACTTGGGACAGTCTTCCCTTCCTGCCATCCTAGAGCAACGTGGAGACCACCTTCAGGAGGATGGCAGACGGAAGGCTGCAACTCCAAGTGAGAGTCCTGACCGGCCGACGGAGGAACACGGAGGGATGTATCCTAAGCAACAGAGAGAGCTACAGAGGACAGCACTTCAGAAACCTTTGTGGTCAGAGCCAGCTCCTAAGAAATGGCCGTCAGTGGCCAGGGAGGAGAGCAGATACTCAGCAATGGCTGGAACCCGCTTTGCCGTTACCCTTGGTGGTTTGGGGTTGGACAGGTGTCAAGAATGGGCAGTGGTGACAATGTCTACACCTGTTAGCAATCACAGCAGATGCATGGGTCTCATGTAGCCAGCCTTAGAGAAGGGAGCAGTGTGGCCACTGGGGCTGGGAGCCTGTGACCATCCGAGGACCAGCTACCTCGAGGACTTGGGGTAACCAGAACTTAAAGAGGAGGGGCTGATGGACAGGAGGATCCTGGAGCCTCCAACACAAATGACTAGCCCTGAACTTAGGCCCCTGTACAGCATACTCAAGATAACCATCAGAAGTTCCTTCTTAGCTGGAGAACAGACACCCAGTCATGGTGTGACAGTCATGGCTGCAACACCGTACACACTAACATCATTGACGATAAGCAGCAGCCTAAGGATAGCTGTGGACACCAGAGCACATTTGGACAAGAAGTCTAGACTTTGACTTTATACAGTTATGTCACTGGCCGACCATCAGGCAGAGAAGGTAGGTGGAGTCAGAGTATGCCTCAGGGTCAGGAAAGGACAGAGCAAGGCAGTCCCGCCCCCCTCCCCCAAAGAGGTAGAGCTGGAAGTGGCACGCTCCCCTGGGAAGTTTCATTCAGGGACGGGTGAGAGAAGCTAGGCCAAGCCCACGGGGAGGCCTGAGAGCCAGAGCCCTGGATGCCATCAAGTCTCAGAGGCAGTTTCAGGGACACTGGAGCACCAAAGAGCCAGCTCAGAGATTAAGTGCAGCAACAGGATCCAGAAGCATCCTGGTGAATAGGAATACTGCATGTGGCTGGCCAGCTGCACGAGATTTCTCATCATTCTCTGTGTCTGTGTGTGTTCAACATGGAGCTGTGGACAACGGGGTGTTTCTGTTAAACAGCTCAGATCAACACTGGGGAGTCTGGAAGAAGGGTGAACAGTCAAAGTGCTTACAGAATAGTCCCATGAGACCCAGGAACTTTCCCAGACGGAGACTCTGTGGGACAAGGTTTCCCTGGCCAGGTGGTTCCAGATGTAATGCTTACAGTGGGAGCAAGGAACCCAAGGAGGGAGAGGGGCGGGGGCTGGGCTGACCTACACTGTCTGTGCTCCGGCCTCCTTCATGATCAGCTGGTCTGTGGCTAAAATTCACCCCTTTTCCTCTGAAGCAGGGGACGTCTCTACGCCACGCTGGGGCCCAACTGGAGGGTTCCAGTTCGGAATTCTCCCAGAACTCGGAGCTGTGTCTACAGGTATATATTTGTCCATTTTCTCACTTGACAAATAGCTTTGGGGTGTTTTCTGGGGGAAAAGCTCTGTGCCAAATGTATCATAACACTGTCTGGTGCTCCAATTGCTCCAGAGAAGTATGGGGGGCCCTCTGGGAGAGAGGAGGGGACCATCAGAGGAAACAATTCTGGAAGAATGATAGGAATTAGCTAAATGATTGGAGAGGGGCCTCACAGGGCAGGACCTCCCAGCCAGAGAGACGGTGAGGCAGTAGGAACAGGTGGCTCAGTGAGGGTAAAAGCCTGTGTTGTAAAAGGGAGAAGGGTTTCAGATGGGGCTGGGGAGGTGGGCAGAGCAGCATCCAGTAGGGGCAAGGACGTTGCCTGCTCCTTAGGAGCAGTAGGCCCGGGGGAGGTTTGGTGGAGAATAAGAGCTGTGTGGGTAGAGAGGGTACGGAGGAGGCGCGAATGGAAGCAGGAAACAGAGACAGTTACTGCGCTGCCATCCAAAGCAAGATGGAGTGACTTTGGCAGAGAGGTGGGATGCACAACCAGACATAGTTAGGACCTGGCACCGGAACGCCCTCAGGACTGATGAGACTAGGTTGTAGAGCATGGCTTGGTGGCCAGCTTGGTTGAGCCAGGTGCCTGTGGACACCCAATAAGCAGCAGCACAAACATCTGTAGCACAGGACAGGACTTGGGCATTGTCGTCTATGACAGTGCCTGATCTGAAGGGAGGGGCGAGAGAAGAGCCGGGAGGAAGGGAGGACACAATGGTAGTGTGGGGCTTCTGTCCCCATCCTGCTAGCATGGGGGAGGGGCTGCCAGGGCTGGGCTACAATGGCTTAAACCGCAGGCACGAGCCTGGGAGCAGCCAGAGAGAAGCAGGGGGGCGGGTATGGCAAGAGACAGGTAGAGGCTGGGTGTGGAAACTTGGTAAGAGTTTTCTATAGGAGTCCGCCCTGCTATGGGGACATCATAGACTCACCAGTGAGGCACCTGAGAGTCATAGTTGGTGGGAGGGTACCAGGAATCAGCTGCTCTGGGGCCGTATCTAACTGACAGTCTCCCCTCAGCCCCACGAGCCCGTGCACTTGTACCGTGGGCAGCTCAGCCACTGTGCCCACTATGGAGGGGCCTCTAAGACGGAAAACCCTGCTCAAGGAAGGCCGGAAGCCTGCAGTAAGTCACACATACACCCACTGGAGGCAGTTTGGACTCAGGGAGTATAGCCTGGTCTAGAGATGTGCCAACCAGGCTCCTAGCCCTGGCTGTACCACTGAGGAGAAAAAGACCTCAGTATCTCTGTGACTTAGGATGAAGCTACACCTCCTCCTGGAGGTCATCTGTGGCAGAGTGCCTGCCCGTGGGTACATGGGCATGCCAGAGCCATGGAGGTCTGGAGGGCAGGAGAAGCCTGGACACTCAGAAGGAAGAGGGTTGCACAGCCCCAGGAAGCAGCATGGCCCACAGTACTTGGCTGCTATGTGGCATTCCCATGTAGACTCCCTCACTCCCTGGCCACATGCTAGCACCAATGGAGAAAACATGGGGACCGGGTATCAGGAGCTTCTTGAGGCCTGCCACCAGCCTTCATGTCAGACTCACATGCCACAGCCACATGGCCCCACGTGACAGGGCCTCAGCTCCTTGTGTGGCAATCTCCTCCTTAAGCTGCCTCTCCTCACTGCATCTGCTCTGTCCTCCTGGCCACCATAGTTGCCTGGAGATGCCACCCGCCCCTGCAGGTGCTCCAGAGTCCCTGTCTCTAGCTGCCAGTTGGATGGTTGGATGATGGATAAGGTAGAGGGCTTCTGCCCCAGCTCTTGCTATACTTGAAACTTCCTACAGAATGGGGTCCTGGGTCATTCCCGAGGTATGGGCTTATTCCCTCTCCATACCACACCCACACATGACAGAGTAGGTCATAGGACAAACCACAGGAGTTGGTTTTACACTTCTACTATTTGTGTCCCAGGGATAACACTTAGATTGTCAGATTAGGGTCAAGCACCTTTGCCCACTAAGCCATCCCGTCAGCCGGGGACTAGCATTTTCAAGTGAATGGAAGAGAATGGAAGCCCACATTCCTCACAAGCAGTAAGGATAAATGTGCCATGAGCTTTTTTCCCGTTAGCATGTGTGTCTGTTGCTGTGCATCCTGTGGTTATCATTGAGGGCCGAAAGACAGCTTTGCCTTGGTTGTGACACAGCTGTCCCCACTAGGAAGAGAACTATATCATGATGATGAATGACCTGCTCCTGGGAGTCACAGTCCTGCCCTCCCAGAATGGGATGCTTACATTGGCATTGCACATCTGAAAGCTTCACCGCAGGTCCCAGCTTAGCCCCGCCAGCAGAAAGGCCTCAAAATTCAGCTTTGAGTCTGTCCAGAGCAGCCCATTGCAAGCATTCACTTTCTAGGCAACAGCTTGGCATGTCTTTTTTTCCTGGGCCCAGCTCTACTAACACATAGGATTTATGCACTGAGGCTCCTTCCACAAGGTGTAGACAGAAAGGAGTAAGAGAGGGGACAGAAGATCTCCGGACCTGGGTAGAGATGGCACTGCCAAGGGTCAGAGAAGACGGGGAGAGCTGGGTTGGCATAAGCAGGGATAGCAGCGTCCATGACGGGGCCGCCTGAGGCCACTCCCCTTCCCAGTGTCATCCCTTTGCCTCCCCGCTTGTGCAGCTCTCCTCGTGGACCAGGTACTGGGTCGTACTCTCAGGATCCACCCTCCTATACTACGGAGCCAAGTCCTTGCGGGGCACAGACAGAAAGCACGTAAGTCCCCTGAAAACGGCTGCCGTGCCGGACTTCCTCTAGTGGGAGTGACTCCTATGACTGCAAGGGCGAGGGTGGGCAGGACACTTGTTACCATGTTAGCCTCCCTTGCTGAGGGGCAGGGTGAGGGCCCAGCCTCCCAGCTGTCTGTTGCTCTTTTCTAGTATAAATCTACACCTGGCAAGAAGGTCTCCATCGTAGGCTGGATGGTGCAGCTGCCGGATGACCCCGAGCACCCAGATATCTTCCAGCTGAATAACCCTGAAAAAGGTGGGCAGCAGGCTGGGCTGGCTCCTCCCTTCCCTCTCTGACCAGTGTGCACCCCAATGCTCTGGGTTTGCTAGGTCTGCCTGGCATCCAGTCTAGTCCTTGACGCTGCTTAGATTCTGACTGATGTTTCCATTGAGCACTGAGAACAGACTAGCCTTTGACTTAATGTGTCTATCTTTCCTCCTTCTGTGACCCAAGGGTCTGGGTAAATGGCAACCAATGTTAGATGAAGAAGAACCTTGGGGCCAAAAGAGTCTTGGGTCCTAAATTTCAGGCACCCCTGACATAGCTTTACAATGAGACTGCAGTGTTCAGGTCCAAGGGCAGCTCAGAAGAACCTGTGTAACTTCCAAAGGCTTCCCCAGTTCCCTCTCAGTCCCTGCTGGGTCCACCCTCCGTTGGCCCTGCTAAGAGGCCATCCTGCCCAGGAACCTTGTCTTCACTGACATGCCTAGTCATGCACAGCCAGCTTCTTGGCTAGACCAAGTAACCAAACAAAAATCCAACAGCAACAGCATATGGGCTTACTGGAATCGCGAGCTTTCTGTGTGATAGGAATGTTTGAGTACAGAGTTCAGACACAGGGCAGTCATCCAGGGATCTGCTCAGATTTGGGGTCTGTAGATCTGGCTAGAGACCACGACTATGCATTTCTAGCAAGTTCCCTGGGAAGGGTGCTAGGGGTACAGGCCAGGGGACTGTTTAACTGTTCTGTTCTCATGATTGCAACTGAGAAATAAGGACACCCAACTGCCTCAAGGAGCCCCACAGGTAGGGGGCAGTAGAGTGCTTGGTCCTCTGCTCTGAATTGGGGTGACTGAGTGCATATCTGCTGCACACACTGGTGTCCTTACTCTGGTACCACTGGAGTGTCTTCCCCAGCCAGGGCCAGTGGTTTTGTTTTGTTTTCATTAGGAAGAAAGAAAGCTACGTATGCCTGCACAAGCTCCACTGTGAGGCCTTGTGGCCATGGGGATCGCAGGCCACTCCTGCTTGAGCCTAGGGCAGTGGTTGTCAACCTTCCTGATGCTGCGGCCCTTTAATAGAGTACCATAATTATTTTGTTGCTACTTCATAACTGGAGCTGCTGTTATGAACTGTATCATAAATATCTGATATACAGGACATCTGATACACAACCCCCAAAGGGGTTGTGACCCGTGGGCTGTGAGCCACTGGCCTAGAGGAAAGCAGTGTCTCAGAACAGAGGGAGATGTGACATGAAGTCTGGGGGCAATGTCCACTGACAGAATTGAAGAGGCCTATCAGCTAGACATGCAAAGTTACATCTTGGTCTTCAGAGACAAATAATGCTGTCTTCCTTCCATTATGAATATGAGTATCAGGTGACGAGAATTTCAGAAATACTGTGGGTTTTGTCCCCAGGAGAAATGATAGGCATTTTCATAGCATACATAGGTTGCGGACTTCTCAGAACCTCATTGGTGTTCATTTTGAAATCCCAGCAGGCTATTAGACCTGCTACCAGCTCTGGGTACTAGGATGTGGAGACAGGGACACGCAGACTCACATCCCATCATACTGTGTGCAGGTAGTTTAGTGCCGAGTCTCAGTGTTGGTGATTTTCTTTGTATTTTTATTTCACACATTTGAAAACATTGGTTCAAGAAGTGCTCAGGGCCGGGCGGTGGTGGCGCACACCTTTAATCCCAGCACTCGGGAGGCAGAGGCAGGCGGATCGCTGTGAGTTCGAGACCAGCCTGGACTACCAAGCGAGTTCCTGGACAGCCTCCAAAGCCACAGAGAAACCCTGTCTCGGAAAAAAAAAAAAAAAAAGAAAGAAAAAAACAAGAAGTGCTCAGAACCTGTTAAGGGGCCTAGTCCAAAGATGGCTGCCCTGCCAGTGCTGGCTCACCCTGGGCTGTGGCAGATGTTCTTACCTCGTGTGTTGCTCCCACAACACACGAGGACCAGCCTGTGTGTCCTTAACCAGAGATCCTTTCCCCATCAGGCAATGTTTACAAGTTCCAGACGGGCTCCCGGTTTCACGCAATACTGTGGCACAAGCACTTGGATGATGCATGTAAAAGCAACAGGCCTCAGGTAATGTCCCTCAGATCCTGTTTATGACCAGAAACCCTTAGGCTACAGGGTTCCTTTTCCCTCTGAGCCCATAAGTGCTGCGCTACCCCCCACCCCCTCACCACCACCACCCCCGCACCCTCTTGGAGGTTTCTCCCATGAGTCCTGGAAACCCTTGCACAGCTTTGAATGACTCTTTTCCACTAAAGAAAATGCCACAGACATATACCCAGTAGCAGACAGTGGGGTGACAAGTATGACATTTAGGTAGATTGCTCCCCAGAGCCGATTTCATTGGGATACACCAACGTGACTAATAGGCCTCTCTGCTCACTACCCTGGGGAGTGTACTACTTAACAGCTAGAGTATTGAGGGCCAATCATGTACCAGGCAAGGCTGCTGGACCTGGGTCCTGGTCTAGCCTCTGCTTCTGCTGCTGCCACCCCTCTCCTTACCAGCCATTACTCAGAAGGCTTCACGTGCAGTCATTGGCAGAGTCTTCCCATGTCCCCATAACGTAGGTTCTCTTACTGTCTCCATTGGACACCAAGGAGCCTGAGGCTTAGCAGTGGAGACACTTAATGCAAGGTCCATAGTTAGTGAGTGGCAGAGCTAAGATCCTACTCAGGGTCACCTGATTCCCATCTCTGACCCTGAAGCTCCTCCCTGAGCTCTCCAGCTTCCACTTTTTCTGAGAGTCCCTGTACTATACAAGAGAGCCAGGAGTACAGCCCCTGCTGGCCAGGCCTGTGGTGGAAATGACAGCTTCCATTCACAGCACAAGGTGGGGATGGGTTGGTGCCTCCTGCTCCCTGCACGCCAAGTAGGCAACATTGATCCTAAAAGGAGGCCCAAAACAAGCTACTCTGGAGTACTTTGACTCACCTGTGGGATGCACGCACCCAGTCCTCATGTTAAAACATGCTCATTGCAACAGTGTCCATGATAGAAAAGTACCAGGGCCCTCCAGCCTGCCAGAGATCCCTGAGCAACACCAAATAGCCATCAGCAAGACAGTAGCAGGTCTAAGGAGCAAAGGCATGGGCATAGGCAAGGATGATCTCATTTGTTTTAAAATTTGTATGAATATTACTGTATGGATATGAGCATATTCATGCAAAGTTTCTACAATTATATACAAGAAAGTATAATTCCATTGTTCTAGAGCACTTACATATATGCACTTATCTGTGAGACAGGAGAATCGACAGTGTTTTCCAGTAGTGTGGGAGGTTGAACCCAGGGCCTCAAGCATGCTAGGTAATTGCTCTGCCACAGAGCTACACTCCCAGTCCTGTTTATTTATATTCTACATATTAAGTCAGTGTCACTGCCCATCTCCATGATGGGAGGACCTGTGACTTGGCTCACTGCCACCTCAAGGCAACCAAGGGGAAAAGAGGCTGAGGCTTGAACGAGGTCTCTGCAGCTTCAGGCTTCGAGAGGAGAAGCTGCACCTTCCATTCCAATCTCGTCAGCCCCGGGCTACCTTACTATCCCTGAGCCAGCACAGCTCCCTGAGGCTCACCAGCCAGCACAGCTCACTGAGGCTCACCACACACACAGCTCACTGAGGCTCACCACACACACAGCTCACTGAGGCTCACCACACACACAGCTCACTGAGGCTCACCACACACACAGCTCACTGAGGCTCACCACACACACACAGCTCCCTGAGGCTCACCACACACACAGCTCACTGAAGCTCACCACACACACACAGCTCCCTGAGGCTCACCACACACACAGCTCACTGAGGCTCACCACACACACAGCTCCCTGAGGCTCACCACACACACAGCTCCCTGAGGCTCACCACACACACAGCTCACTGAAGCTCACCACACACACACAGCTCCCTGAGGCTCACCACACACACAGCTCCCTGAGGCTCACCACACACACACAGCTCACTGAGGCTCACCACACACACAGCTCCCTGAGGCTCACCACACACACACAGCTCCCTGAGGCTCACCACACACACAGCTCACTGAAGCTCACCACACACACACAGCTCCCTGAGGCTCACCACACACACAGCTCACTGAGGCTCATCAGTCACACACAGCTCCCTGAGGCTCACCACACACACACAGCTCCCTGAGGCTCACCACACACACAGCTCCCTGAAGCTCACCACACACACAGCTCCCTGAGGCTCACCACACACACAGCTCACTGAGGCTCACCACACACACAGCTCACTGAGGCTCACCACACACACAGCTCACTGAAGCTCACCACACACACAGCTCACTGAAGCTCACCACACACACAGCTCCCTGAGGCTCACCACACACACAGCTCACTGAAGCTCATCAGTCACACACAGCTCACTGAGGCTCACCACACACACAGCTCACTGAGGCTCACCACACACACAGCTCACTGAGGCTCACCACACACACAGCTCCCTGAGGCTCACCACACACACAGCTCCCTGAGGCTCACCACACACACAGCTCACTGAGGCTCACCACACACACAGCTCACTGAAGCTCACCACACACACAGCTCACTGAGGCTCACCACACACACAGCTCCCTGAGGCTCACCACACACACAGCTCACTGAGGCTCACCACACACACAGCTCACTGAGGCTCACCACACACACAGCTCACTGAGGCTCACCACACACACAGCTCACTGAGGCTCATCAGTCACACACAGCTCACTGAGGCTCACCACACACACAGCTCACTGAGGCTCACCACACACACAGCTCACTGAGGCTCACCACACACACAGCTCACTGAGGCTCACGTCACACACAGCTCCCTGAGGCTCATCAGTCACACACAGCTCCCTGAGGCTCACCACACACACAGCTCACTGAGGCTCACCACACACACACCTCACTGAGGCTCATCAGCCACATACAGGAGGCCCCAGGACCCGTGTGCAAGAGGACACGTGCTCCAAGCACACCTCACAGCCTCGAGGTCAGTCCCTGACTGGGGGGAGAGAGCCTCAAGAGGAACAGCAGCAAGGAAGTACAGCAAACCCATGTGGCCGACTGGCATGTGGCCCACAGGGCTGAGGCAGGGTTTCATGCCCTGGCAAATGTGGCATGCTGTGTCAAAGTTCTGCCGTGTATTTGTGTCCAATTTTCAGACCTAGAAAAAAAAGGATTTCTTTTTATACCTGGTTTCCTTTTTACTTCCAGTTTACTTTTCACCAAATAGTTATACTCTGATGTATAAAATGTGGAGACAAGTTCAATACTCAGCGGTAGAGGCTTACTTAAATCAGTCACTGTGAGCCAGGTGGTGGTGCACGCCTTTGGTCCCAGCACTCAGGAGGCAGAGGCAGCCAGATCTTTGTGATTGAGGCCAGTCTGGTCTACAGAGTGAGTTCCAGGACAGCCAGAGCTGCTACACACATAAACCCTGTCATGAAAAACCAAAACAACAAAGAAACAGTCCCCATGCACCCGAAGGACAACTCAGGGAGGGCACAGGAAAAAGGGTGTTGTGGAGGTGCGGCCTTCCACAGGGAATCTGCAATGAAGTCTGTGTTTCTATTTGCACATCTTAAATTTGTTTGTCTGACACTGAATCTGTTCAAGCTTATTTATAATGTATGTGTAAGATACAAACAACAGCAGTAGAACTAGGTGTGGTAACACTCAGGAGGCTGAGGCAGGAAGAGCATAGGGCCAACCTGAGCTACAAACAGCCAAACAGGACAACAGCAAAACATAGCAGTAGAAAAACACCCACATACCCCACCCACAGCCAAAACTAGAACCCGCACAGGTCTCTAAACCTTCCTCTCCCTCTGAAGTCAGTCTCTCCTTCCCCATAAGGTTTTTCCTTTGCTAGCATGTGTTATGTTCCGGGCAGGAAGTCCAGGGCTCACCTGCTAGGCAAGTGCTATACCACCGAGCTGCACCCCAGCCCCCGTTACCATTTTAAGAGCTCTCAATAATCGAGCCGTCCCATGTGCCCCTTCCCGCTGCTTGCTCCTCTGCACTGGTCGTGAGGCTGCCCGTTCTGCCCACCACTTGGAACCTACTCCCTGTTTCTTGCTCCCTTGAGTTTTAAGGCCGTGAACTTTCTCGGAACGGTCTCCTGGTACAGGGATGCATCCTTTTCTGATTTCTCATTTTGGCAAAACTGACACCAAGATGGGTTTGTTTTTTACGAAATCATGTCTAATCAAACCTAGAACACTCCAACAGTACCAAAGGAGAAAGTCTGGAGGCAGCTATGGGGGCAGGGAAGCACTCTGACAGGGAAACTGGTAGCCTCTGGGAGGAGGTATTGGGGTTCATGATCTACCCATACTTTCTCCTCCCCCCGTGCCACTACCTGCCATTCCTTAGTGACATCCCTCACGCCGAGGCTGGGTTCCCCAACATTCACCCCCCACTTCATCAGGGTCCATCCTCTGCACCCCAAGCCCTCTTAGTTGTCTTTGGCTCGGAGGTTAGTGGTGGAGAATGTGGGTTCAGGTCCCAGCCCTGGTTCTTACCGTATGCTCATAATGGGGACACTTCGAGCATCTGCCTAGCGGGGTTCGTGTGGGGACTTAGTACACAGTGCAGATGTCAGAATAAGGGCTGGCACATGCGGCCATTCTCAGTGGCGGCTACCATTGCCATGCTTTCCCTCAGGAGCCATCCCGTGTGCCCCTTCCCGCTGCTTGCTGTCCCTTTCTGGGGTTGAAACAGTGACAAGCAGGTGAGCTTTCTCTTTTAGGTACCTGCAAATCTTATGTCATTTGAATAAGTGTCTGCAGGACTTGGCATGACCTCAAAGGCTTCTGGGAGCCTGGACTAGATCTGGTGGAGGAGAGCAGCTCTCAGCATAAGCTGCTGGCCAAGGCACTGGAGCCCCATAGCTCGATGAACGTGGCCTGCAGCCTCACAGTCCTGGATGGCTCCCCAGTGTGAGATCCACCTGCCAACCCACAGCACCTCTCATGACTCATCCTGCAGCAGCACCCCCAGGGTGGTTGTCAGACCCCAGACTGCGCACCCTGTGCCCCCTCTCTGGGCCACCGTCTGCCCACCAGCTGCTTCTGCATCGAGGGAGCATCTGACCCCCGCTGGGTTCTCCGTGCTTTCTACTGCACACAATGGACGCAGTTAACCTTTGAGAGGGCTGGAGAGCAGAGAGACAGGTTGCTGGACAGGCTTGTTACACCCCAAGTGCACGGGCTGCTCATCCTCAGGGCCGCCTCAGATTTTGTATGCCCCCAAAGTATCCTCCGTGTGTGTGCTCTACATGCGTGCGTGTGAGCGAGTGAGTGTGAGCTCTCTGAGAAACATACATTTTGGCACAAGACTTGTGACATTACACATTTGTTGGCTTTGAGGCCCTGCTTGAAGCTTTAGTTACAGCCTTGTCCTCTAAGTCTGAAGGGAGTCCAGAAGCTCCATGTCAAGGGTCCCTTGAGTTCTTTTACTGTAAACAAACAATGCCTTAAATCGTGTCTTGTTTTCTGTTCCTATGGGTGCTATTCATCTGGATGGCCTGTTCCCTGGGCCCCAGGACCTCCTGGGTCCTGTTGTTGTCAGCCCTCCCGAGGCAGAAACAGTCTCAGGACCGCGGACTGGGCACTGGATTGTGTGCTCCCTACCATGAGCTCTCCTGGGGGCCTTTGGCCTTCCTCGTCTCTCCCACTCCCACCATGCTGGCATGGGAAGTTGTGGCCTTTTCTCCCAGCAGCTTGGAGGCCCCCAAAGTGATGAGTGGTCAGTCGTGTAGAAGCTACCACCCCACATTCCCCCGCAGGGCGGACTTTTGTCTTCTCACCCGTTGCCACCACTGCCAGGGTCAGCCACACTGATTCCTGATCACACACAGGGAGCTGAGTGACGTGGAGGCCTTAAGACCCTCAGTCTTGCCCCTAAATGTAGTCACCAGCACGTTCTCCAAGTCCAAGGGCCCAGTTGTTGAAGGCCAGATGACAAGAGAGCCAAGCCCTAGGGAGTGAAATCTCCAGTCTCTGAATTCATGAGCAAGGACCTTTATCCATCGCCTTTCGTCATACATAAGGTGACTTTCATTTTGCACATTTTAGTTCAAGCTCTTTATCATCACAGATGCCCTCTGTCCCTCTCCCTCTTCCTCCCTGAATCTGGTTACTCTAACCCTGGGAAGCATACCCTCAAAGCGACTTTCTGGAAAAGGCGAATTTCTGGGTCCCTGTGGGGTCATACACAATAACTGATTATCAAACCAGCCCAAAGAAATTCCAACAATAATCAAGAAGCTTCAGACAGCATCATAACCATGAACTTGCCACCAGAAAACCCACCATTGTATTAAAACCGAATGGTGATACTTCTCTAAAAATGTTAATGATTTGGTAGGGCAAGTAGTTGTTTCCATGGTAGTGTAGTACCTTTTGGTCAAGCCTCACTGTATTCTGAAGCTAACCTTCGTGTGAGCAGAGCCTGAACATTTTCATGCCAAGAGAAACTCCAGGTGGTAAAGTCTGTGCCATCAAAACTTGACCACAGCTGCCTCACATATCTCCCCACGCCAGGGGTCCAGGTGTGTTCACCAGATTCTACCAACATCTCTTCCAGTTAGAATCTAGAAGAATGGCAATGCCAAACCCTGCAGACACCTCCACTAGAACCAATGCCATCGCTACACTTCAACTCTGATCCTGCCTGTTAACTTCTAAAAAGTCAGAAGCCTGAACAAAACTGCAAGACCAGAGCATCAGCTACCAGTTTCCTTAGGCTTCTCCACTCTCCAACTTGTTTTTGGTTCTCACACATGAAATATCAAACATCAAAAGCCCCAGAATTTCAGTCTCCACTCAGAAAACGCTCTACCATTTACAAATCTGTCTAATCCAACACGAGTGTTTTCTTTTAGGCCTAATCTAAAAGAGCACAATCACAATTATTTTCAAAGTGTCTAATCCCCCTAATTGGAACCAGACTCCCCTCCCAGAAGCACCCTCACCATGGACTCTTGAAGAAACTGAACTTTTGTTAGTTAAAAAACAAAAACCTTGAAGGACGCTTGAGAGCCTTGAAGGTGGCAGAAGAGCTCTGGAGACAGAGTTAAAATATTTGACTCTCCAGCAGGGCCTTAGGCCAAGCTGGGATCCCCAGGGCTGGCTTGTCCCACAGGCTGCAGGGGAGGTGGGTAGGTCAAGTGACAGTTCTGCGTTTTTGCTGGACTGTCCATAGTAGACAAGTCCTGTGAAATTGTTGGATGTGTTAAGTCACTCACCGTCATGCAAACAGACCGTGGTGCCCCCAAAGTGAAAGCTATAGAAAGCTGTCTAGAAACTAGGATGGACAGCTAGTAGTATTGTGAAGTCCCAAGAAGAGCCCTCTCCCTCATGATGAAGGCAACTTCTGCCCCTCTCCAGTATATTGAGTTTTGTATCTCCAGTGTCAGCTAAGTGTATGCTGGCCAGCAAAATGCCTTGTGGAGACTGGATTTGGTGGAAAGCAGCAGAAACATTGTCCTAAATATGCCAGCGGGAGAGTGTGGTCCCTCCCCTCCCCTTCCCTGACCAGATGCCATGAAGCACTTGCCAGATTGGGACGCCGAGCAGGCGGACACATTGCAATTGTTGGTGAGGGACCTACCTTGTCTTGCCAGCAGGACCTCTCTATTTCTTTCTCACCGAGATGGCCAGCGTTTCTTCCATCATTTTACTCCCACCTCCCAAGCCTAAGAAAAGGGTGGGGTTTTAATACCATCTTCAGAAGGGAATTGATCTGTAAAACTGGGAAGCTGTTTATCAGCCGCGGCTGCTTTATTCTTCCGGTGGGTTCCAGAGCTCTGCACCAACATTGCAGGTGCCTGCAACCACTGTTGAATATTGCCAAAACCACAGCCTCCCTTTCGTGTGACCCTTACATTGGCCCTACGCCATATTGATATGTTATATGTGATTTCATGTTATAAAAAAATCACTGCACAAAGTCCCTTTGAAATAAACATTCATTCATATCTCTAGTGAGTGCTTTCTATACACCAGGCTCTACCCAGAATGAAAATGGCTAGAAACAAGACAATCTCCAATTTTGGCCCTTTGTAGAGCTTACCAGTCAATGAACAAGTAATCCCCACCTCACATAACAACGTTGGCAAGACCCTGCTCTCCCCTACTCCTGAATACATATCCTGTGCATTGGTTCTTCCAGAAAGACTTCAGAAGACCCAAACAGACTGCATGGGATTTCTGTGAGAGTCAGTTGCGTTGAGGACTAGCTGGAGTACCACTGCCCCACACAGGAGGCTGGCCAGCTCTGAGTAGCCAGATACAGAACTGTGTTCAAGAATGGTTACAAGGCAGAATGAGAGAGTAGGGTCCGAATGCTCGCAGTATGCACAGGCTTCCCCTTTTAGCCCTTAACTTCAGTGTTAAGTTCAAATGCAGTATGAGTGGAGCTGCATGTCCTTGGGAGCTGAGAACTTGGACTTGGACTTTGGTCCACCTTGCAGCCTGCTGCTGTGCAAGTGTGTGTCCCATGGACAGCCCCAAGTTCCCTTCACAGCAGCAAGGTGTTAGATCATCTGCCTATTTTGGAAGGACTGTGACCATTCAGTAATTAAAGATAATAGTAATTCATTTATTAGTGAGATATATAATCTTTAATAAATTTTGTGCCAAAATGCATGGTTTCCCACTTTGCATTCAATTGTTGCATAGAGTAGTTTTTAATTTCTTCCTGTGTTCTTCCAAGTAAACTGAAAATGAGTTTCTATATCTTAGTTTGTTTCTTGTTAAGAAATGCTGCATCCTCCCGAGCTGTCTTTTTTCCCAGCAGACCCTGCATGCAGTCGTATAAGGAGTTTCTCTACTATTTGTAAATTGTCTCATCTGCAATAACCACTGAGCATTATCCCTCCTTGGGATTCTTTAGATTTTTGGTGAAGTATTTTGTTACCTCAGTCTTGTATCAAGTTGCTGTATTTTTCAGCTTGTTACACTGATAATTGTTTCACTAATTAAATACTTTAATGTACAGGCATCTTTGTTTACTTTGAAATTAAATGTGTTTTTCAATGAGTATTGTTCCATTTATTAGAGTCACATGCAGTCACCCTGGCAGGCGGTTGCTGTGCCGCACGCAGACGTGAGGGGGCATCGCCTTCCCAGGGCTCACCTGAGAGGGGGGGAGAGGGGACAGGGACAACGATGTGGGTCTCCCAGAGAGGAGGGCAAAGGGTCTGGGGACACCTGAGAGGATGGGGAGAGAAAGGACAGGATGCACATGCACACACACCCACACCCTGTCCAGTCTCTGCTTGTGCCGCGTCAAGGGAGGCCAGATCCTCAAGATCGCACTGAAAGATGCACAGCTTAAGCCCAGACTCTCCCTGGAAGAGGGACTCTCAACTGAGATTTCCTCCAGCAGATTAGCCTATGGACACGTCTGTGATGCCTTTTTTTTTTTTTTTTTTAATGTGGGAGGGTCCAGCTCACTACGGTGGTGCTATCCCTGGGCAGGTGGGCCTGGGCTGGATAAGAAAAGATGAGCGAGCCAAAGGAAGCAGACCGGAAAGCCTCCATCCTCCATAGTCCCTGACTCAGTTCCCGCCTTGAGTTACTGCTCTGGCTTCCCAGATGACGGGCTATCACCTGGAGGCCACAGAAACCCTTTCTTCCCCAAGTTGCTTTTGGTCACTGTGTTTATCACAGCAACAGAAACTAAACAAAACCATCCTCAGTTTTTATCAATGAGTCCCCCAACCACAGTGCAGTGTTCAAGGGACCCTAGGATGCGATGCCTCTGACTCGGGAGGAATGGGGGTCACAAAGTCGGAAGGTGATGAATGAAAACCTGAACCCCCGATGGGCAGCCAGCAAAGCTCCCGCTCCACTGTGTCAGGCGCCGCAAACAGCCACCAGGAGACAGCAGTGCCTCCCTTTGCTGGCAGGCTGGACCCTGAGGTAGTGCAGACCTCATGGTGGACTGTCAGATCAGCCAGGAAGACCGACCAGCACTAGCTGAAGTGAGGAAGAGGAGACGTGGGCGATGTCACATGGGCGGGGCTTGTGGCGTGGGCGGGGCAGTTAGCTCTTGGGGCAGAATTAGAAAGGGTCTAGAGACGCCGCAGAATTGTAGCAAGTACAGACCCCAGCTTCAAGGGAGGAAAGGCGGAGCTCCAGGGTTGGGGGCCATGCCTGTGGGCGGGGCGTGGAGGAGGGCGGCTCCCGAGAGAGGGCGGTGCTACGATAGAAGGCCCAGGAGGCGCTGAGGTGAGGGTCGGGCTGAGAAGCCAGCGGGCAGAGCTGTGGTGCTGAGGGCCGTCAGGGCGCTCTGTGGCGGAGGGAGGGGGAAGTGAGCGGGGCCTGGGTCTGTGCGGATGGTGAGGAGCCGGAGCGGTGAGTCGTGCAACCCGACGAAGTTGAGGACCGGGTGGGTTTTGGGGGCTTGGGTGAGCTACACAGAAGCATGGAGGGCAGCCTGGAGGATCTCCGGGAGGCTGGCACGGGAGGGGTGTGGCTGGAGCTCAGGGCGGGGGAAGGGTGGGGTCTGCACTGGGCTGAGGAGGACCGGGGAGCAGAAGTTAGGGGCGGAACCTACGCCGACTCGGGCGTGGGGTGGGTGGGGACTAGGAAATGGGGCGGGGTCTTGGTAAAGCTGAAGGGCAAAGGGACTGACTAGATTGGGGTTTGGGGTGGGGCCAGAGCCCAATAATAGGCAAGGGAGCCTCCTGGATTGGTACTTGGCGGGGGTGGGGGCGATGGGCGGAGTCTGAATACAGCTGGGCAGGGACCTGCCTGACTGGGGCGGGACAAAGGCGGGGCAGGGGCGGGGCCTGAGCCCAACTGAGGAGATGGGGCGGGGCCGGACATAAACCCTACTGTGTGGTGAGAGGATCTGCTAGATTAGCGGCAAGGCGGGGCAGGACCAAGGCCTCAAGTAGGATCTAAGGGAGTGGGTTCCGTTAGGGACCAGGGCGGGGCCTGCCTCAAGTGGGGAGGGCTCCGCTAGGCTAGGGGCGGGGCTTAAAGCAGGAGGCGCGGAGGAGGCGGACCTGCTAGGTTAGGGGCGGGGCAGAGACCCGGCGTGGTGGTGGTGGTGGTGGGGTAGGTCTGGAGTAGGGGCGGGGCCTAAAGCCTGAGGAGTGGTAAGGGGGACCTGCTAGAGTAGGGGCGGGCCCCAGACCCCGCGGAGCGTGTGAGGGCGTGGCTAGCCTGGAGTTCGGGGCGGGGCCTGAGGTCCGGGGCTGGGCTTGGAGTTCGGGGCAGGACAGGGGCGGGGCTTTGGTCCGGCAAGGGGTGCGGGGCGGAGCGTGGGCTGCGGCGCGCTAGCTGAGCGTCCGGCCGAACACCGCCGAGGCCCGAGCCCACCCGAGTGTGCCCGAGCCATCGGCCCCCGCCCGGGGCGATGGAGCCGGAGCCCGGCGGGGCCGCCGCTGCGCTCCTGCGGCAGAAGAGGGCGGCGCTGCGGCGCAGGGGGTGCAGCTTTGAGAGTCCCAGGTACCGGTGCCAGGGAGGGGTGCAGCCTTGGGAGGCGGGAGCGGGGAGCAGGCCACGTGGGGGGTGGCGGTGTGAGGGGACAGAGCGTGGCGAGGCCGCGGCGTGGGAGGGAGTAGGCGCTGAGCCTGGTAGAGCGGCCGGGCCACGCCGAGGGAGTGCCCAGCGGGAGGGCTGGAGACCTGTGACTGGCCAGCAGATGCTGGGGACGTTCGAATCCTCGGCCCTGTGACAGGCCCTGCACATCACGGCTCAGGGAGGTCTCGGGCTGTGGAGAACGCGTCCTGCCCTCTTCTAAATGCTCAAGGACAAGGTCGGAGCCCCCAAGCTCCCAAATGGACACTCTTCGGGCGCCTCTTGCTCTCTGTAAGCCATGCTTGCACCTCAGGTGCCTGGACACCTGCTGCCTCTGGCCCCGCCCATCTCTGGCTGGGGTTGTTGGGGTGGGGGGGTTCCCTGCAGAGTTCCTAGGTCCCTTCTCTTTCTCCAGGTTGCCTGTGCCCCTAACTGGCCTTACCTTCCTTAACTGGCGCCCTCCTAGGGAGCCAGCTCGGGCCCTCTAGGTGAAGCTTGCCTACTGCCGGACACGCCCTTCCCGATGCGGCTGATGCCAGTGCCTGTGCCCTGCTTACTCCAGGGCACTCCTGTAGCCGAAGTGGGTCTCCTTCTTCCAGGTGGAATCATTCCTTTCAGGGTGACTCCAGCACCACCATCTCGGCCAGATTCTCATCATCATTCTGTAGTAATGGCCTTAGGAAGGGTACCCCGAAGCCAGACCTGTTCCCTCTAGCCCATTGCTGCTTGCACCCCTGAGGAGTTTCTCATTGTCATATAGCATGCATGGGTAGGGACAAGGAGAAGAAAAACATGTGGGAATCTAACCTCCAGTGAAGTGGATGAGGGATTTCATTTGCTAAGACACAAAGCAAACCAACCGAGATCCTTAATGGAAGGTGTGATGCCCTTAATTGGCCCTTCTCAGACTCCGTCCTTAACACGCCCTGCTCCAGCAGTTCTGACGAGGACAGATACCACAGCCGTCCTAGCACCTGCTCCATCATCAGAGCTGGCTCGGGCCTGGCCCATCACAGAGTCTGGTGGTCCGGTCCCTCCTCCTACAGGCTGTAGAAACTGCGCTCCAAGTCTTTCTGAAAGTCTTTCTTGAACCCTAGGCTTAGCTCTGTGTGGTCAGTATCTGGGCATCCAAGAAAGTTCTAGATGTTGTGTGGTAACCTGGGTGGTGCATTTCCCTTAGAAGACCTAGACAGCTAGCAGTCTTTATGACTGGAGTGTGGAGACTAGGAAGAGATACCAAGAGATGAGCGCAAGGAGGGCCCCTCAGGCCTGAGGCCGAATGTTAGGACAGTGCTGCTGCATAGACCTCACAGATGACAGAGTGCTTTAGTGGCCACCCCGTCCGGTGAGGGAGCCACAAACACCTGTGGCTGTGGAGCAGTTCTGAGACACTGAGGGTTGGGTTGAGCCGCCACCTCAGCCTTCTCATTGTCACTAACGGGACTTTCTCAGTCCTTGCCACACCCCGCCCCGGCAGTGCTGATGAGTGTGTGGTGAAGACAGAGGAGAAATGTTTGCCATCGTGGGCAGTGCCAGCTTAAAAATTAGATTTCCCTCCCCTTTGTCTTCATGACCAGATTCTTCAAGGACTAAATGACTTCCAAGATTCCAGGGTATTTTTGTTCCCTGATATGCTGTGACTTGAGATAGTAAGGTTTGGCTTTTTTTTTCTTCCAAAAGTAATTTGTTAGATGAAAATTGAAAATGCAAGAAAATATAAACTGGATAATTGTTTTGCTGTTAGGTTTTGATGTTTTGTTGTTCTTTGTTTGCTTGCTTGTTTGTTTTTGAGACAGGTCTCATTATACAGCCCTGGTTGGCCTGAAATTCAGTATGTAAATCAGGCTGGCCTTGAATTCACAGAGATCTGCTTGCCTCTGCCTTTCAAGTGCTGGGATTAAAGGTGTGCGCCACCACACTCGGTGGGTAATTTATTGATTCATAATCTCAGTTATAGGTATAACGTGATCTCTCTCTTCTACATGAATATTTATCATTTTAATTCACTTTTCACAACACATCATAAAGACAGTAAGAAATCCTTTACTGTTTTTTTAAGAAAACTTGGGAACTCTTTTTTTGTTTTGTTTTTTGAAACAGGGTTTCTCTATGTAACCCTGGCTGTCCTGGAACTCCCTCTGTAGACCAGGCTGGCCTGGAACTCACTGAGATCCGCCTCCCTAGTGCTGTGACTAAAGTTGTGCACCACCACCATCTGGCACAAAGGAACCTCTTAAGGCTTTGGAAGCATGGTGCCAGAGAGTACCAATAGGATTACCTTTATATTTGCCAAAGTGATAGCTTGTTTTAATTTTGAATTTCTTTAATGAAGTTTTCTCATAAGCTATTCATAATTTGTACTTATTTTTAAGATATTTGTATGCATGATCTTCATTTTTCTTTTGAAATATTTATCTTTTCCTTATAGAATTAAAGTTCTTTTTATTTGTTAAGGGTATTTTTTTGGTGAAATATCTAGCAGATATTTTTCCAGTTCGCCTTTCACT